CTCATTGCTAGCTAGGTAGATATTGCGATCATATTCTCTCCCGGGCCGACAACCCAGGTTCGGAAGAAAAGATGATCAGGATTTGAGTTGAGTATGAGTATCAACAAAACCGTCGCTTTGAAATGCGCGGGGCTAGACGCAGACTGAGCCCAAAAGAGACAAATTGCCGCCCCTGATACGTGTGCGCCCGTCTTCATGCGCGTTACTGAGCCAGGGCATATCCGGGGGAAAGGAGATGATATAAAGCCCTTGGAAGAATCCTCTGGGAGAGGGGAAGAAAGGGAAGTAACAAACAGGAGAGCAAATCGGATGCGAAGGATGGGCATGCATATCAAGGCCTCGTGGCGAACCCAATCCTCTCGGCTATCCTGTGAGACCTTAGGGCAGCTTTTCGGAAAGGAACCGCGAGCGTGCACCCTGCTCCTTCTCCTCGAGATGACCGAGGATCTGCTTGACGGCCCAAATGACCGTCATAGCGAGGTCCGCGTCTTGGTCGCCCCTAATGATGCAGCCCATGGCCTGACCGCCTTTCTCAGTGTCAAAGGCTGGGTAGGCCTCCTGGATCTTATGGGGAAGTAGGTGCTGGTGGAAACGCTCGTGGTTGGGCCTATTCCCGGCAATCACGCGTCAATGGTCTTGACACCCAAAGTGCGCAGCGCCGAAGTGGCCCATCAAGACAGGCGCGTGCTCGGCAGGTTGCATGGATCTGGGTTGGCTTACCACGCAACATCGTCGAAGTAGCCCTCCGTCTTCCAGGCCTGGCCCGGCTGTCTACCACCGCCCTCGAGGGCGATGGTGTCCACATAAGGGGTGCGGGTGAGGCGCCTGTGACGGGCCATGGCGCGGTCCAGTGGCATATACAGTCTCAGATCGAGGCAATCGTAGAGCTTCTTTGCATAGCGAAGACTTTCCTTCACCCGGGGATCTGTCGCGTTGGTGAGGGCCTCTCCCCAGCTCGTCGACGGGTCATCGACATCGGTGGGGTAGAGCATGAATCCCTCAACGAGAGCGAGGCGGCAAGCCACGATCACCACACCTTTCGCCTGCTTACCAAGGGCCTCGCTTCGACCACCGGTGTTGCCGTTGCTGCCGTTCACAGCTCCATGGCCGTCGGTGCCATTCTGGCCAACGTCAGTAGCTCCATTTGACAGTGATCCGTCGCCAGGGGAGCCATCGGCACGGAAGATGAGACCCTCAAAGCCGATCCTACGGTTCAGGGATAGCTGATTCGAAGCTGAGGCCCGAATGAGCTGCAAGGCCTGTTGTAGGGTGCCGGCCGGGAGGTTGCCGCCAATAGTGCTGCCACTGCGAATCCTGCTCTTCAGTTTGAGGATCTGTTGGTGGCAGTAGTCGTCTTCCTTCTTTGCCTGCTGGGGCTCGGGGTTCCACTGCTCCTCGTGGGCCGCTGTGCCAAACTCCGTCTCGAGGGTGGCGCACATGCGAGAGTAATCCAGGGCAAGGGGAGTGTCGGTATCGGGACAATCGAAGACGCCAGGGTGGGCGTACTCGGGCAGGCCGCCCATGACGTAGGCGTCGCCAGGGAAGACGGGCTTGAACCGAGCCCTGGGGCAGTCTGGCTTGGGGATGAAGTGCGAGTCGCAAAGCACTGTGATGATGGCTGGGGGGCCGTCATCTTTGGACAGGCCATTCTTGATGGCTCGCTCGAATATGAAGTGCAGAATCGCCGTCAGAGTCGACTTGCCGCTGCCGCTGCATCCGGAAATGCCAACGACGACATCGGTGGCGCCCTTGGACCTGAGCACAGGGCACATGGCTTCGTCGGGCCCGCTCTCTTGGAAGATGGCCATGGCTAAGTGGCGTAGGTACTCACCTTGTGCGGGAGTCGAGCGCTGGAGGGGCTAGGTTAGGTGAGGTTGAAGGGAATGAAAGGGTGGGCGGTGGGCAAAGCCGGTTGTGGTGGGAAGATATCAAGTTAGACTGGGGTGGCAGCTCAAGAAAGCGCGGTGGTTTGATCACACAAAAGAAAGTGAGAGGGCGACTGAAGAGCGGATATATCTCTATGTTGCTCACTTGTCTCGCCGACAGAAAAAGATGCGCGAGTAGGAGCCTAGAAAGTGGGTGCGTCTCGCGCGCGCGTGATGGGCAAGAGTTGTTGTGTTGCTTCTTCGGAACGAGATAGGAAGACGAGGCCCTCGGACAGGACAGTGCGGGAGGTTGTTACGCAGGCGGCACTGTTGGGCGCACAATCGGGTGGGAGCAAGAAACGGCCATGGTTGGAGGCTAGGTTGGCAGATCCGGGCGGTCTTTTAAGATGCGGCACCGTTTCGGGTTGTGGTGCGGGCGTGGTTAGCTTGGCTTATCTCGGAGGTCGGAGGGGGTGCGTCGATGGGAATTATCGCGGCCGTGTCACCCGTCCCAGCCTGTGAATGGCCGAGAGGTTGACAAGAACCTGCCGTTCCTGGCCTGTGAGGGAAGGTTACCTGTGCAGGCTGCTACGGGTTGAGGTGAGGCAACATGCAAAGGTGATGTGATGTGACTTTGACCCCAGGCTGGGAGGTGCGGTGGGAGGACAGTGACGGGCGGGCTCGTTATGGGATGAAGCACAAGGACGCCTCTGTGGCCCGACCCCAATCTTGCGTGGACGCCACCCGAGATACGGCTTGTCTCCCCGGAAAGGTAGGTGTGCTCGGTGACGGGGGCAGTCACCCACGCATACCTTGGTCGTCACTCCCGCGTGACGGTTTTCTCAGATCGCTCGAGCTAGGAAAGCACTGAACAGGCAAGCAGCCCATGGCACCTTCCCAGTATGTATGTCCCTTTCCCAACTATACAAACAACGAGAGCAACACAATGGGCAAGATACGTCACTCCTCGATCCCTTTCAGTCTCATTCTCCGTATCAGATGACAGCGGGAACGACGGCAAAACGGGACGGAACATGGGACCAGCAGGAAGTGCTCAGGGGTGACAGATGGAAGGCACACAACCGCCCCTTTCCTAAAAGGTGAACAGTAGCCCGGCGTAGGCGAGAGCTTCAACCTGGAATCCACTCGGCATTCCCGTATCCCATCTTAAAGGTGTGTGCACAAGAGAAACCAAACGGACAGAGCTCAGGACAAATTTCAACAGATCTCAAATTCACCATACAACCATCCAGACAAAACCACTTTGCCCTGCTGGATTCAGATTGCAAAGAAACATGGAAATTCAAGTCAAGATTGATCAAGAAGATCCATGCGAACGAATTTTTCAGTGGCCGACTAAACCAAAAACCTAGGATAACTGAACTGCCCCCAAAACTCCAATACACCAACCACGCCGAAGACCGCAGAGCCTTGCTTTAAGCGGTGGTCGCCAGGGGAGTTGGCTCCACACCGACGCGCTCCTTGCTCAGGATGTCGAGCAGCAGCTGAGAAGGCCTGTTGTCCTTGAACACTTTCTCGCTGTTCTTGAACATCTTGACGTTGGACAGGTACCTGTCAAAGAGAAACGAGCTGTCCATCGGCCCACCTTTGGCCTCGGGGTGGAACTGCGTCGAGAAGATGGGGCGAGTCTTGTGCATCATGCCTGTGTCGTGCAGCAAACCGAGCAGGTTAGTCACGACCCTCTTTATTTCACCCCCAATTTTTGTGTCTGGTTTCTGCTGCCGACAGGTGATGAGGCTTACCCTCGTTGCTGCCGTCATTCAGGTTCACAAAGTACTCCAAGAACTCGTTTGGCAGAGTGCTCGTGTCGACGGCATACCCGTGGTTCTGGCTAGTAATGTGGCACTGGCCGGTGGTCAACTGTACAAGCGGGCAAAAAGGTCAGCCACCCCCACGCCCAGAGCCGACATCACAGCATGATTTGGGTGGGCGAAACTTACGTCAAGGGCCGGGATGTTGTGCGCCCGGTTTCCATACTTCAGCTTGATGGTCTTGGCGCCGACGGCCAGAGCCAGAAGCTGGTGACCCAAGCAGATACCCATGATGGGCACAGGCGATGTCTCCATCAGCCGCCCCAGGTTGTAGATAGTCTCTTGGCAGTGGGTCGGGTCACCCGGCCCGTTGGAGATGAAAACGCCGTCAAAGTTGGACGCAACCTTGTGGATCGGGTAGTTGTAGGGGAAGACTGTGACCGAGGCGCCACGGTTGACCAGACTGCGCAGGATGTTCTCCTTGACTCCGCAGTCGATCAGCGCAATGTGGAAGGTCGGGTCCAGAGCCTCAACCACAAATGGCGCCTTGGTGCTGACGCGCTTCACCAGGTTGATTAGACCCGGGTCGACAAAGCTCTCGTCCTCGTCCGCGTCATACTCCTCGCCGATAGTGATGCGGGCCAGGGATGAGCCCTGCTCGCGGAGGTGGGTGACGATGGCGCGCGTGTCGACTCCCGAGATGACGGGAACGCCCTCGCGAGCGCACCACTCGCTAAGACCCTCCACAGCCGTCCAGTGGCTGTACTTCTCGGCAATATCCGAAACTACAACGCCGGCACACTGGATGTGCGGCGACTCAAAGTACTTGAGCAGGTTGAACTCGTCGCGCTCCTTGGACGGCACGCCGTAGTTGCCGATCAACGGCTGGGTGAAGACCAGGATCTGACCACGGTACGACGGATCCGTCATGGACTCGGGGTATCCGACGAGGGAGGTTGTGAAGACAGCCTCGCCCGAGATATTGGAGTTGGCACCATAGGCGGTACCGTGGAACACGGGGCCGTCCTATTAACGAAAGCAAACCAAGCCCGAGAGTCAGCATGCAGGCACATGGGCAGAGACATGATTCCAGCGATAAACAGCGCGGGGCAATGCCATACCCGGATGGTGAAGGTGGCATCGAGGCCGGCGGCAGGCGGCGCGGTAGCGCGCGAGCGCTGCGTGGGCATGTCGCGGCCCTTGCTGCCGGTGCTGGCCTGCTGCTGCTGGCTGCCGCTCACGAAGCGGAGCTGGGTGGCGGCGGCCGGGGCGCGCACGGCTAATGCGCCGGCTTGGAGGGCCGCGGCCGGTCTAGCGGCCGCGGCGAGGCGGGCGGTCACTCGGGAGAGCATGGTAGGTTCGCTATTCCAAGAGCGGGCGGGGGATCGGTGGTGTCAGCAGCGGGTGGTTCAGTTGGCTTTAAGCGGACAGGGCCCTCCAAAGATGGTCTAGGAACCTCAAGTCAGTAAACCCTGAGCATGCACGGTGGTGAGTCAGGGGACAGTAAAAGTCTGAGACGCAGCGGCGAACCGGAGAGATAGTCCTGTGCGAGGAGGCCATTATAGTCAGCGGCATGGAACCTAAGCGGCATGGTGGGTGCAGGCTGGTGTGGGAGCCTCTCAAGGGCCCAATTCCATGTCCAAAGAACTACCCGCAGCAAGCCATCATGACAACAGCACAATTCGCCAGGCCAGGAGGGGAAAAAGAGGAAATTGGGGCTGTTGTAACTCCAATGAGAGCTTGAAGGCGTTGCGAGAAAGGCAGGTGGGGTTGGGGTTGGGGAGTCACGGTAACAGGAAGAAAAAAAAATTATTCGCCCAAGCTCCTCCAAGCCAGCAGTGACGCGATGACATACCTGAGAGGTGAATTCTGACAGGCGCCCTTTCATAAGCGCGACTTTCGGCTGGTCAGCTCTATAAAAGGAGAAAGGGAGGATCGCGGGAAGTGATCGAGTCTTGGGTGTTCGGACAGTTGTTGTCGTTGCAGCGGTGACGGAGGAAGCTCCCGGACGTGGACGAGGGGGAAAGGAAGAAGGGAGAGTTGCATCGTCAAAATTCCAGGGGGGAGGAATTACGGTGCTTATCATTGGTCGGAGGGTGACAGGCTGAGTCTGAGGGCTTGATTGAAGTTTCCCCAATTGGGGCGGGATGTGGGGGGGGGTGCGCCCGAAGCTTCTTTGCAGCAGGAAAGAAGAAAAAAAGCCGGCAGCTGGGGCTCCGGCACCGGCGAAAACGGGTCGCTACTTTGTCGAGCGTGAAACTCGAAAATGGGATTTTGTTGTCAAACAGGCCGACGAACCCGCCAACAGAACTGAAACTGAGAGGAGGTTCGACTCAATCAAAGCGACTACCATCTGCGAGAGAAAGAAAGATAAAAACCCAGCAACAGGGGGTTAAAACTGGAGATCACAGGGGTGGCGAAAGTGGGGTCACGTGCTGGCATAGAGTAACTGCCGTTGTTGAAGTTGGTGAAAGAAGGGAGGAGAAATTCTGTTACCCCCTTGTTACTGGGTGGGTTTTTATCATTTGTTTCCCTCGCAGATGGTACCAGTGATCTGCCGCCACCCATTCCATCGAGTCAGTTCAGACCGCTTGTTTTGTGCTCAGCCCGCATGCATGTCGAGGAACAACGCTGCTCGGGCACGGCCAGGCTTCGAGGCATGTGCTTGCCGACAGCGTTGCATATGTTGGGTCCTTTATAGGCCTCCGCGGAGGCCCGTGAGAGAGCACATACAGATGGCGTGACGCCAACGGCACCCGCGCAACACCGCTACTGCAGAAACAAGTCGTAGGGACCAGCAATGTGACCAAGTGAGCTACCTAGGTAGGTAGCGGCGTAGAGAGCCAGCGTTCTTCCTAGCCTCGGTAGGGCTTGTAGCAAACACTCTATTTTGTATAGTCTTCCGACGACGACACGTCTACATACCCCTCTAGACATACAGTTCTATGGGCAACATGGCTAGTGGCTGCTGCTGCTGTGCATGACATGCAACAAAAGCACACATTCTACCGCCAAGGCTTTATAATGCACCAAGCTCCTTCAGCTTTGCGACGAGGCCGCCGACGTCCTCGACCTTTCCTCCGCCCTGTCTCGGAGGTGGTTCTGTTTGCGGAAGAGAGAGATAGAGCATCGTCAGTGAGGTGAAACACGCGCAGCGAGCTGCATGCAAGCATGCACATGATAGGGGCGGGGTATTACAATCTCGGGACAAGGGGGAGAGGGGGAGGGGGGCCAACCCCCACTTACCGGTGACCTTGACGACCTTGAGCCTGCTCTCGGCCGAGACGCCGTAGTCGGCCAGCGCCTTCTTCTCGAGCGGCTTCTTCTTGGCCTTCATGATGTTGGGCAGGCTCGCGTAGCGCGGTTCGTTGAGCCGCAGGTCCGTCGTGACCACCATGGGCAGCCGCGCGCGCACCGTCTCGACGCCGCCGTCCACCTCGCACGTCACGCTGACGCTGCCGTCGCTTCCGACCTCCACCTTTGACGCCTGCGTCGCCTGCGGCCAGCCCAGGAGCGCGGCAAGCATGGGCCCCGTCTGGGCCGAGTCGTCGTCGATGCTCTGCTTGCCGAGTATCACCAGGTTGCTCTTGTGGTCCTCGGCCGCCCTCTTGAGCAGCTTGGCCACCGACAGCGGCTCGAGCGCCGGCGCGTCCTCGGCCGTCTCGACGTGCACCGCCCGGTCCGCGCCCATGGCCATGGCCGTCCGGAGCGTCTCCTGCGCCTTTGCGGGCCCCGCCGAGATGACGCATATGTCCTCCACCCCCGCCGGCCCGGCCTTGCGCTCCCGCAGCCGCACCGCCTCCTCAACCGAGAGCTCGTCGAACGGGTTCATGCTGTGCTTGACCCCGGCCAGCTCGACGCCCGTCTGCGCCTTGTTCACCCGCGGCTTGACCTGTTGTGGTGGGCACGGTGGAAGGGAAGGAGGGGGCTTGTCAGCAGCCGTTTGCTTGTGAGGGCGCCCTCGAATGGCCGAAATCCAAGCCTGTAGACGCCGACATCATCATGGGTGCCGCCGACCTCGGCCGGGCGACGGCGCGATTCGGCTACTTACTGCATAGTCGATGACCCGCTTGATGGGCACTAATATTCTCAGTCCGGACATGTTGACCACTTCTGCCGCTCGATCGCCGAATTTTACGGGCGCTCGATAGGTTGTCGGGAGGTATTCGCGACGAGATCAAAGGTTGTGGCTTGCTGGTTGCGACAGAATGAATGGGCGGTTGTCGTCATTCGAATTGAGCCGTCTCCCAGAAAGCTGAGAGCATCCAATGGCGGGGCCCCAGGCACGGATCGCATCGGCTGGCCGCGGCTGAACTGGGCCAGGGTGCTTGAGCACGTGCCAACATGGAGAATGTGCTCCTTTCCATAGCCAGACGATACAGGAAAGCATTTGGTAACAACGTAGACTTCAAAACAACCTCACAGCCAACAAAATAAAAGTCAAACATTCAAAAAGTCGATAGTTCCGCTAAAATGGAAAAAGTACAATGTATATACTCTATACACAGCACAAGCCAACACCGCCGCAACCAAGTATCCTTTTCATGTCCTGTCGCTCGTGATATTCAAGTTGATGTATGCCAAGAGGCGGAGAAGCAACCGGCGCCGTCGTAAAAACGTAGAGCAGAGAAAGGAAAACCGAGTATGCACAAAATCACCAGACAAACCGCCCAACGGACCGCCTCGCTTGTAACAAGCCGCCCCCTCGCTCACCAATCATCCCACTCATCCTTCTTGGCGGCCGGCTTTGATGTGGCACCGGTCGCGGGCCCGGTGCTGGCGCTACCGCCCTTGCTCATGGCGGCAGTTCCGATGGCACTGCTCTTCTTGGGCTGCTGCTGCTGCTGCTGCTGCTCTGGAATGTCGGAAAAGTCGTCCCAAAAGTCCTTGCGGCTGTCGTCGATGGGCACTTGGCGGTACTGGCTCCTATCCGGTCCGCCCTCGACGAACTGGTTGAACCTGTCCTGGGCGCTCCTGGCACCGACCTGTGCCACCTTGCCGACGGTGCCCGCCGTCGCGCGTGCCTGTGCTGCGAAATCCGACTCGGCGATCTGTAACAACGCAAGACGCGAGTTAGTGATGGACGCCCAGGGATTGAGAAAGCAAGCAGGGTGCCATGAAACATACCTGCTTCGCCGTGGGCTGGATGTAGGTGCTGTTGACCGTGGTGGCCGTCTTGGTCACCGTGGACGCGAACCAGCCGAAGCCCTTGGTCAGGGCGGCGACCGGGTTGCTCTGCACCTCGTTCATGGACGGAAGGGAGGAGCCGCCGCCGTTACTGCTCTGGGGCATGGGCGTGTTGCCGAACCCCGCGTACTTGCCGCCCTGGCTCGGCGGCAGGGCTTCGGAGCGCGAGGCGTTGTCCGCCCCGAGCTTGGCAAAGTATTTGTCGTCCACCCGCGTCTTGTTCCCGACCCCGCCGCCGCCGCCGCCGCCACCGGCACCGCTAGGACTTGCGGACCTGCTGACGTCGTCCCTGTAGCCGCCGCCCCTGTCCGCGGTCCCGCTCAGCGGCGCGCTCGACGCCGCCGCCGCGGCGCTGCCGCCCTTGCCGGCGGCGGCCGTCTTCTTCTCACCGGGCACGTACTCCCTCCCCTCGACCGACGCGCTCAGGCGCTCCTTGTACTCCTCGCCGGCCTCGCCGCTGTAGCGCTCCGCGATGGTGGCGTCGTCCCACGAGATGCCCCTGAGCTCCGTGTCCGGGTGCTTCTCGAAGAAGTCGCGCCAGCGCGCGTTGCCGCCGAGCCGCATGCGCTCAATCTCGGCCGCCTTGAAGGCGTCCATCGAGATGGACCGCACGAACGAGATATGCACGCCCAGGCCCCGGTGCACGCCCGCGCACGAGAGGCAGATGAAGACGCCGAACTTGGGCGACGCCCACTGGGGGGACGGCGCCCCGCAGTCGCAGCAGATGCTGTTGTTGGACTCTTTTTGGATGGCGAGGAGCTGTCGGTTGTTCGTCGAGAAGCCGGCCGGCGCGAAGTCGGTGCATAGGTTCGCTCACAGTCAGCCTCGTGGCATGAAAATTATCCCCCCAGATTCCCTTCCCTTGAACATCTTTGTTTGCAGCAACACGTTCGTTGGCACTCCGGTATAGGAATGGAATTGCTCACCTTGGACCGAGTCTCAGGGTCGACCTCCCACATGCCTTTGGAGGCCATCTTGGCCAGATGTCGCAGGTCGTGCGTCTATCTGTCCTCGCCGCCTTTGGAGGTTTGGATTCGGGGTGGCGGTGGACAGGTTGGGGCGTCGGGGTCTGTTTTCCTCGCAGGCCAGCGCTAGCTTGCGGTCTTCTGCAGCGTCTTAGTTCGTCCGTCTTCGTTTGTTTCCTCTGCGGGTTCCCGACTTCGATTGGTGAAGCTGGCCTCGCTGGAGGAGTGCGCTGTGCTTTCCCCGTACCTGGAAATAGCCAGCGTGGGAACCACTCAAGGGACTGACTAGCCTGTGTCAGACGGAGACGTGGGCGCAGCGAATTTAGTGTTTCTAATACGTACTAAGTATTTTTTAGGGGTTCCATGGGGAACGTGCGGTCTGGATCTTTGGCGGGTTGACCGTGCCAGCGGCGCCAGTCAGGGGTTGATGTGGGGCAAAAAGCTACGCCGCAGCCTCCTGTAGTTTTCCCGCTCTGCCTCCGTTGGCGACCTACGGCCAAGCCTCCCTGTTCGTTGGTGTCTGATATCTTTCGTACTGTAACCCTTCTTTCGAGTAATACAACGTCAGGTACTCGACACCGTTGAGAGCACCTTGAACCTATCGTTCGCGTTCACTCAGATTCGGTTCCGTCGAGCAGCCAGGCGAGCTTCTCTCGCTTAACAGTCAGCTCCGATGCAGTGTTTGACAGCCATATTGGGTTGGAATCTTGGCCATGGCAACATGCTAAATTCACCACCCTCGATAAGCTGCGCTGACGGTACGGCGAGTCCTACTCAGGATATGCCTTCCCTTGGTCTTTCCACCCGCACATCCATACTATACACCGCGGGGAGTTCCAAGAGAAAATTAGAGCAAAGAGCAAGGATGGGCAAAAATACGTGATGCCTCAAGAAAAAGAGGTTATTAGGATATGGAGCCAAAGCAAAAGAAGGGTCCCTGAGGTCTAAATGTCGTATCGTGAAAATGAACCGTAAATAGACGCCAGTAACCTTTTTTTTGTCACCCCAAAGTCACCCTCCCATCCCAAAAGTCTCCGTAAAGAAAAGAGTCATCAAGCGTCGTGTCGATTCAATGAAAGAAGCTCCAGTGTAGCCAAATAATACAGCGGGCACAAGAGGCTCTGTTCGGGTTGAGATGACACGAGGTCGCTGACGGGCGCCAGCAAGTGGCCATCAAAGTCGTTTCGTAAACCGTGTGCGTAGTCGTAGCGATCCTTTATTAGGGCTAGATTAGGCCGCGGCCGGAGTGGCGGCAGCGGCAGCAGGGGCATCGGCCGGAGCGGCGGCAGCCTCGGCCTCGGCAGCAGCGGGGGCAGCAGCCTCATCGGGCTTGGTCTCGGTGGCGGTGCCGTTGGTCTCACCGGCAGCCGGGGTCTCAGCAGCAACATCATCGTCGGTCTTGTCGGGGCTGTCGATGGCGACCTTGACGGCAATCTCGCGGTTATCGATCTGCTTGCCGTTCATCTCGGCAACAGCCTTCAGCTGCAGCTCCTCCGATGCCAAGGTGACAAAACCGAAACCACGGCCCTTGCGCGGCTCGTTGCGAGCCTGGAGCTTCTTGATCATGAAACGAGGAATGGGGCGCAGAGCAATCTTCGCAGAAGAGGGCTCGTACGCAGCGAAGACCTCCTTAAGCTGTGACAGGGAGATGACAAGTTAGCGTCTGGCCCCGACACACCGTATAGACGACTAGTAGGTGTGGTTTGGGGTTGTCTTACGCGGGCCTCAGTCATGTCGTAGGGCAGGTTGGCGACCATGACCTTATTCTTGGACGGGATGCCGTCGGCCGGAGGGCCACGCTCACGACGCTCACGCGGCTGGCGGGGCTCCTTCTTGCCGGCCTTGTCCTCCTTGTCGCCCTCAGCGGCCTTGTTAGTGATATCACCCAGAGGCTTGTCGGAATCGGCAGCCGCGGCCTCCGTAGCGGAGGCATCTGCGGCACCATCCTCCTTGTCATCCTACAGAGCGCGAACGTGTGAGCAAGAGTCCTAGTCCTCTCAGGGTGGCCATGACGCAAAAGCAAAAGTTCTAGTTGCATAGCTTACCTCGGAGCGTCCAGCACGTCCGGCACCGCCACGGCCGCGGCTAGCGCGACCACGGCCACGGGTAGACCGGGTGCGACGGGTACCCTCAGCGCCCTCACCGTTGGCGCCCTCCTCCTTTGGCTGACTCGGCTCGGGCTTGCGAGCGAGCTGAACCGAGACCTTGCGCTCGAGGATCTCCTGGCCCGACAGCTCAGCGATGGCACGCTCAGCCTCGTTGGGGGTCGAGAGGTCGACGAAAGCGTAGCCGACGGGGCGGTCGGTGCGCGGGTTCTTCGGAATTGAGATGCGTTCACTGTCAAGGCTGTTAGCTGGTCACGTTCGAGTCACAGCATCTTGGGGGTGTGGATGCGGGTGTGGGTGTGGGGCATCTGGCTTGACTCGATCCACCACAGCACACCACGTCTCGAGATGACAGTTCACCAAGAGAGTCGAGGTCAAGCGGGCTGATAGAGATCTGAAGGTAGGTGTAGTGGTGCAGGAAGGAAAAAAAACCCCCGAGGTCTGGTGGCAAAGCGGCAGCAGGGAAAACTCACACAAGGTAGCCCTTGAAGAACTCCTTCAACTTCCCCTCGCTTGTGGCGTAGGCGAGGTTGCCGATGTAGAGTCGGCGGCCCTCGACAGCGCTGGCATGGTTGTCATCGTTGGCCTTGGTGTCGGCCTTGCCAGAGATGCTAGTATCGGCCAGAGCAGTGGTGACTTCGCTGACGGCAGCGTCAACGGGAACGTTCTCGACGGGAGCAGACATTTTGAACGGTTGGTAGGTTGCTTTCTTGCGAACTGGCACAGAAAGGCGGCGTGGGAACCGTGGGGCGTTGGGTGTCAAAACTTGGGTGTCGACGTTGTGCTTGGGTTCAAAAGTTGAACTCTGGGAACAATGCGGGGGGAAGTTTTAAGGGTAGCTTCGTGCCCTAGGTACGGGGGAGGTATTGACGGCGGGTGCAAGGTTTGCTTTCGCTGATCTTGAGGTGTTTGTGATGGAAGATGAGGAAAGAAAGGAGAAAAGGAGGAGTGGCACGAAGCAGCGCGCGAGCTGATGAGATCAAATATTTTTTCTTTGCGCCAGGCCCTGCCTGCCCAGAAAGTTCGGGGAATTAAGCGAAAAAGGGAGGGAAACAGTGGGTGTGAATGCCAGGTGGGTGGGTCCCTAGGGAGGCGGTACATGTGCCCCAAGTCGTTGCGCACGATGAGATGGCGGCACAGGGACCAGCGAATTGGCCGCCAAGAGGTACTGATCACGATCCCCGGCTCCACTCGTCTCCTTTTCCAGGCAAGGCCTGTCACCCAAAGACCGAATTTTTCGCCATTCCCCTTCTTTTTCTTTGCCTCTTTGGACGCAACCGTCTGTGCCAGCTTCTGTTTTGAGTGCAGGTGGCGGCCTTCTTTCATCTGACGAGTCACCCGGCGCGACAGGCAGGCACCATCCCAAGATGGTATTGTAGCCTCGTATTGATGCAAACAACCACGTGAAGCCTGTATGAGGCTCTTTTGACCCAGCCTTCCCACCGCATTCAGTGCATCTTAAGCATTGGTTGCAGCAGATAGCAGATGGCGCTGTTGGCATTTGCGCCCTGCCGAGGTGCTGTGAGAGGAGGCCGACTGTAACAAAGAACCCCTTGTTCGGGGTGACTGAATAGCAACGTATGAGATATCAAAGCGTTTGGGGCCATCTCTGAGGCCACGCAGCAACTGCTGCAGACAACTAAACGGGGGCATGTTTCACAACCCAACCTAGTCCAGCAGAAACGTTCCTACCTTCTAGCTAGTGTGTATCTCCTGGATCTACGGGAGGAACGAAGGAGGAAGGTCTCGAGTTTTCTGCAGGCACGGGAGGAAAGACGGAAAGCACCACCCGAGGGCGCTCGAGAGTTGTCATTGTGTGCTGGGAGCCACCTGCCCGAACCAGCGCAGCCCAACTGGAGCGAAAGAGTCGTGATGGAGCGGTCTAGGACATGCCAGGTGTTCGATGCGGTTCGCGACTTCCATCCTGGCGGAGAATGTGGGGGTGTATGGGGACGGAAGCCGCCTGTGGTGCCCGGCCCCGTCGGTTCCCTTGTCAGGGTGCTGTCAAAGCCTCGAGCAGACATGCGGTCAATGCTGGCGCCGTATCACATCAACCCAACCCATCACGCGCAACCTGGTCGATGGAGCAGACCCCTACCGGCGCACTGGCGGTGACAGGCGCAGGCGGTCACGGCAGGCCTCGCACGGGCAGAAAGCCAACCGGTTACGTTCACACATTCACTAGTCGGTGCCCTGTCAACCCGCCTGGGACCCCTAAAAGTCCTAGACTCAAAAGCCCCGGCGTCGGGCGACGGAGATAGCAGCGCCCAAGCACGGGCGGATCGCAACGTCTTTTGCTAGACTCCGATCCAGGTACTCTGTGAAGCCCCAGAAATCGGCAGGCCCTGATGGCACTGACGGGAGGTCGTCTGCCGGAGCGTAGAAGCAGGGGCCCAGGCCTAACCCGCAGATGACTGGTGGCGGAAGTGAGAGACTAACCTTGTTGGGACGCTGCAGTGGAACTACCACGTCTTCTAGATCTTCTGTCCTTCTATCCTTCTTCCGCTCTGCTCTGCGTGTATGCCCTCTGCCCAGGCATTCCATCAGGGTTTCCATGTGCGATATCGATGCAATCACCAACCTGGTTGGGTAACCGATACAACCGATAGCAAACTCAGACGCGCACGGTCATTCAATCCCAGCCTTCAGGGACCACCCTTGTGACACTTTGGTCGAAATGACGCCTGTTGAGTTTGCGATATTAGCCAATCTCCTGCACGACAATTTATGCAGGTTGAGCAGGCTGAGATTATCCCAGATGACATTTTATGCAACATGTGCCATTTGTTTGTTTGTTCTCCTGGCTCCTTTCAAAGTGCTTATTTTTATCAGGCATGACATGAACTAAGCTTCACAGGGATTCCTCAACTTACATGCACACATACAATATTATACGGCATTGGTCAAGTCTGCCCCTGACTGGATCGCTCAGTGACTGTCACTCGGGGTTGCTCTTGTTTGCTGACATCATGTCTTTAGACTACGGCCGTGCGGAAATCTCTTTGCACCGACATCGGCAGTAGCCGCCGCTGCTCCTTGCCCTCGTCCGGCTTTGGTGCAGATGCGCAATTAAGGTGTAGCGTATTATGGCAATCACCGATCGATCCTGTCGGCCTCCTTGTTAGCGGATTGAGCCGTAGCGGGTGTTGGTGCAGTGGGCGATGCTCAGCCTTGAAATTTTCCCATCAACTATCGCGAATAGCGGGGTACTACTGAATCCTCAAGCCTGACATCACCTGCAGCCCTTGACAAGGGCAGCCTCCAAGCGACTCGAAAGAAATACATGCAGTACAGCATCTTGACCTACAACCAGAGCATCTCATTTTGTCTCACCTTCTCTCATCCTGTGGCATCGCCTACAACCGTAAGTCCGAGTTTGTACTCCTAGACCTGGTCAGGTAGAGAGTATCTGGCGCAGTGGGCCAGCTCGACAGGCCTGGCTCGTGGTGAAGCACAGAGTACCCCAGACCCTGAATTTTGGCAGGTCCTTGCGATGGACACCGACCGTGTTGTACTGTCGCCAAAGGCCGTGGCATCCCCCGGCGCCGGCGAGGATGGCCCGGACCAGGTCTTGTCCCGTCGGAGTGCCCTTATTCTTTACGGCTCCGAAACCGGGAACGCCCAGGATATCGCCGAGGACCTGGGCCGCACACTGGAGCGGTTGCGGTTCCGAACCTCTGTTGTCGAGATGGATGATGTCGGGCCGGCAAGTATTCCATGACAAAACCGCCCAGGTCCCCATGACGGCTGTTGACTGACATTCACATGTTTCACGCCTCAGAAAGAGCTGCTCCAGCACTGTCTAGTCATCTTTGCCGTGTCAACCACAGGTCAGGGGGACATGCCGCAGAACGCCTCGAAGTTCTGGCGGAGTCTACTCAGGCGAAAGCTCCCGCCTTCATGCCTAAGCAGGCTAGCATATACTTGCTTCGGGTTGGGTGACAGCTCCTATCCGAAGTACAACTGGGCCGCAAGGAAGCTATGTAAAAGGCTGGGTCAGCTGGGCGCCCTTGAGGTCTTTACTTCAGGAGAGGGGGATGAAAGACACGACGACGGGATTGACACCGTCTACCTCCCTTGGAAGGGGAACCTGCGGTCTTGGATTTTGGCCAACCACCCGCTACCAGGGGATATACAGCCGATTCCTGACCAAGAGCCCCAAACGCCGCGCTTCACATTGCTCATCGACGAGAGCGCTCCAAAGGCACCGGCCTCCGACCCGATCCATCAGCAATATGATAAGGATAAGGCACAACCCTCGGAGGCACCATCGGCCGCATTACTTCTCCCGATACGAGGCGGCATCACGGCGACCCTCCGGAGCAATGAGCGGGTGACGCCCGCGGACCACTGGCAGGACGTGCGCCTGCTCCGCCTCGACCTCGAGACCTCGCCCGCGGAGCCCCTGCGGCCGGGCGCGACTATGACCATCTACCCCAAGAACCAGCTCTCCGACGTCGACGCCCTCATTGAGCGCATGCGGTGGCAGGACCAAGCAGACCGCCCGCTCCGCTTCCCCAACGGCGCCGCCTCCCTCCCCAAGGGGCTCGCGTGGTGCGCGACGACGGCGGCGACGACAGCGATAACGCTGCGCGACCTGCTCACACACGGCCTCGACATCACGGCCGTTCCGCGCCGCGGCTTCCTCGAGAGGTTGTCGTTCCTGGCCTCGGAGCCGGACCAGGCCGAACGCCTACGCGAGCTGGCCGACCCGGCGGCCGCGCACGAGTTCTACGACTACACGGCGCGCCCGCGCCGCACCATCCTCGAGATCTTGCGCGACTTCCCCTCGGCCCTCGTCCCCGCGTTCTCGGCTGCTGACGTCTTCCCCGTCATCAGGGGCCGCGAGTTCAGCATCGCCAACGGCGGCAGCTCCCTGAACCCTTCCCTTTCCGGAGAAGCGGCGGCAGCAACAACAGCCCCCTTGCGCGTCGAGATCCTGGTCGCCATGGTCGAGTACCGCACCATCATCCGCAAGCCGCGCGTGGGCCTGTGCTCGCGCTACCTCGGCGGCCTGCAGCCGGGGACCCGCATCACCGTCACCCTCAAGCAGGGCTCGGGCATGCTAGGGACGGCAGCAGCCCCATCATCACCTTCCAACAAGGCCACCAGCCGCCCCGTCGTGGCCGTCGCGACGGGCACGGGCGTCGCGCCCATCCGCATGCTACTGCACCACATGCGCTCCGCCGCGTCCCCGCCCGCCGAGGCGCTCCTCTTCTTCGGCTGCCGCAGCCGCCGCGCCGACTACTACTTTGCCGACGAGTGGCGCGCCGCCTCGAACGGCGGCGCACTGACCGTCGTGCCCGCCTTCTCGCGCGACCCGGACGCCGCGCTTGAGGACGCCGCCGCGCGCACCGCGGCCCAGGACGAGCCCGTCCTCGCGACTGCCGCCACCGCCACCGCCACGACGGATTATGACGTCGAGGCGGCGGCGGCTCGCTTGCTGCTCCGCCGCCAAGACGCCGGCAGCAACTACGTGCAGCACCACATACGTCGCCACGCGACAAAGGTGGCGGACCTGGTGACGCGCGGCGCCGTCGTCTGCATCTGCGGCAGCGCCGGCGCCATGCCGAGGGCCGTCCGGCTGGCGCTCGAGGACACCCTGGTGGCCGCCGGCGTCTGCGCCGGCCCCGCCGAGGCGGCCGAGCATCTCGCCACCAAGGTAGACGTCTGGCAGGAGACGTGGTGATCTCCCGTGCGAGCCGAGCACCATCTCTCTCCCTGTGTGTGCGTGTGTGTGCGCGTGCGTGCATGGATTGTCCTGAATGCCAAGCATCATGCTTCTTAACCTGGGTACATGCTATTTTTTTTTGCCATGTTTCGCGTTTCAGCACATATATGGGCGCACTTTCATGTACTTTGTGATGTTTCTTTCTTTATTTTACTTGGGACTTCCATAATAGACTAGAAACCGTTTTATTTCCAATACGCATCAAGTGCCAACACCTCCCCAGTTTAGCCTTGCTCCCCCACCTGTGCCTAGCTGCCTAGCTGACTAGCATGACAATGCCGTAGATCGGACAACCTCCTTTCCTATCCGTGGCGTCCCTGACCTTGGATTTTTGGAGAATAGCCATGCTCCCCGTGTATCTCGTAAAGTCTTGGTATACTTCTCAGAAGGGCCATGAGAGGCCAATACCGAAAAAAAACAAAAAAAAAACACACGACATAGTGGAAAATTCCAAAGAAAAACGAGAAAAATGAAAGGAAATTTCGGGCGCCGCCAGATGAGGTGGTTCGCAAGCCCAAGCCAAAGGCTCAGCCAATAAAAAAGAAACGATTGCAGAGGTATTTCGACCTTTGACGCCCCAGCACCAAGTGGCTGACATAAATGAAAGAGTAGACAGCAAAACCAGAACCGACAGGTTGGTTGTATATGTAGGAGAGAGAAAAGAAAACCAAAGGGCTGCTTTCTGCAGTCACCGCTTTTCCGGTGGTTCGAGTGATGCCGGGTGGAAGCCGTGGGTGCAAGCAAGGGCTGCTTGGACAAACACTCGGCTTCTCAGGCGTCGTGATTAAAATGTTGCAACGCCCGCGTCCCAAAGCATATATCTTGTAAGATCGGGGGCGTTCTAAATATGCCCAAGACGAAAATGTAATCGAGAAAAGAGTTCAAATGAGTGAAAGAAGAAGTGAAATGGTTGTTGGTATTGGGAAGTAGCTCGGGGTATTTCCGCAGATGCATGTAATCCTAGTCATGAAAAGGTTGATAGTGGTAAGGATGGAAGGAGGAAGGTGACACAGACAACGCCTCATGGTATTTGGGACACGCCTGCTCTCCGTTGTCACCTCTTATCCTCCTCCCAGCTGTATCGCTTATCTGGAACCTGAGGAACGTGGACTAGCTCGGCCGCAGGGTCGAAGCGCTCAAAACTGCTGGGGCTCGTCGGGGTGCCGGCAATGCGAAGGCTCTGTTGCCGCGTGAACTCGACTTGTTTCCATTCCTCCTCCTGCTCCTCGACCGTAAAATTACTCCCTAGAGTGTCGGCCGATCCTCGCCTGACCCCTGGAGTTGGGGGTGCTGTAAGCCCGGGGTCTATCCTGAGATTGAATCGAGGATCGCCAGCAGAGCGTGGCGGTGATGCGGTGTGTAATCCTGGCGAAGAGGACGGCACAGAAGCAGCTGATCGCGGGGGTATCCGCAGATGCCGAGCGTCGGCGGGATCCTCTGGTATCGGACTTGCCGTGACCTTGCGCCCCTCGGGCCCAATCAGTTGTGGAACTAGTGGTTGCTGGCGCCGGGTCTTGGGCGGGTTTTGTAACGGCAGGCGAATATTTTCTGGCAGCGGACCAAGGCATACAATCTCCTGGTGGTCTATGGGGCTGTGCTGGAATGTCGGGGACTGGGAGCCGTCCGAAACGGAAGAGCCTCTGCCGCCACTTTGGCGGGAAGAGGAGGATATCGATCTACCAACAGCGGTATCTTCGGCATCCTTTCGGGCTTGTTTGTAGAAGGAGGGGTCCGTGGGACTCGAGGTTAGGCTTCGGTTAGCGTTGCTCTTCGAGCGGCCGAATAAGCCTGGAGGGTACTGGGGTGCCAAGGTCATGGGCGATGGAAGGCCTGCCATTTTGATAGCAAGCCAATCAGGATCGCGGGGCGAGACGGGAGATGGCAACGACGGCAACGAGTTGCTGTTGTTGCCGTCCGAGGGGAACGATATGGGCGACGAGCCCTCACCAGTCTCAGGACGGTAGTGCGCCACGGTGCTGACGTCCTGTGATTTGCCCTGCTCTTCTGCAGCGCCGTCCAACGAGCGAGGCGGGCCAGTGTACAGAGGCAGCTGGCCCTGAAGTTGCCTGTGCAGCTTCCTTCGCTCTAGCTCATACTCGCTCACGTTCTGTTGCGAGCCTTCGGTGCCCAGCTCTGTCGCCTCGTCGCTTGAGTGGATCTCATTGGCAGCAAGCTCGACGGGGGCCACAGGCGCGGGCATCTCGTACCGCTCGTGAGAGGCGTCTGCCCCAACCTCGGCGGGCTGCGGTGGACCGCCATCAACACCACCTGTCGTCTCAGCCATCCTGGTCCTCCTCCTCCCCTGCAGGATGGCAAACATCCTGGCAACCGGGCTCAGCGGCGTGTCGGCCTTCATTGCAGACTCGGTGTCCTTGAGTTCGTCCATCGGGCTATCCGGGGGCAAGACCATCTCTTTGACGGCCTGTCTCCTTCTCCGCCTGCGACGGCAGTACCATAAAGCGAAGGCACAGATAGCAGAAACAAGGATAACGGACACGACAATGCCCGCCGTCTGCCCGGCGTCCAATCCCGGCCCTCCGGATTTGGGCAAGCCAACAAACTGCGGGTACTCGCTGTTGGGGGACCTCGCAATGCTTTCGACCGAGTAGTTGGTGGCCGCGTCGATCGGGAAGCGTGCCTGATAGACAGAGAAGACCTCCTCGTCGTACTTTGTGACTAGGTAGGCCTCCTGCATGAAGACACGGCCAAGCACAATCTCGTTGACGTTTTTGGCGCGGCGCAGGGGGAAATACGGGATCGAAGGGTCCGTGATGGCCATCCTTTTCCTATAGGGGAACCGGAGCAGCTGGGCGAACGCGGCGCTGGACAGGGTGACGTTGACCACACCCCGAGTCTCGAGCGGCTTGCCGAAGTCGTCGGTGTTGTCCCAGCCGGATAGGCTGAAGGTGAAGCTGAAAGGCTTGGCCTTTAGGAACGAGTTGTACTGGTCGATGGTGCGGTAGGTGTACACACCCAGTGTATCGTTGTAGACGAGGTCGAGGGCGGACGCGAAACGGTCACAGACCATCTGGGGAAGGGTGAGATAGGGCAGCGACGTATCGATGATGACCATCAACGAGTCGCTCATGGTGACAAGAGAACTGCTGGAGCCGTTCCACGCCGAAGGCGTGCTGGTACCGTCGGCAGCCTGCACGGTGATACCTCGCAGGCGGGCCTGAGGCAGTCGTGTATCAGGGTGGAGGCGAAACTCGGTCTTGTGGCTCACGAATCGAAGTGGGTCGTAGCCGCCGAGTATCAAAGAGCCTGGGCAGCTGGGCTCGGCGTGAAAGAAACCGGCAGTGTAGCCATAGCTGTGACTGGGGATGGTGCCATAGGTCTCGGCCAGCTGCGAAATGAAGGGGTTGACGACCTTGTTGTTGAACTTTCCCTGGGTCACTCCAAGGCCCAGGAAGCCCTGGTAGTAGTCCATGCTCTCAATGCTAGCGATGAGAGCGCCGTTGGCGTCGTTGGTGATGCCGGTCAAGCTGTTGTGCACAGCAACCGTGTCGAGGCCATAGGCCCCGTTGCTATCGTTCCACCCGGTGTTCGTCAGGCCAAGAGCCCATGTGCCAATAGACGTGCAGCTCTTGGAAGACCGTTGGTCATAGACGCCGCCACGGTCAGTGATGCATTGTTGAACTACAGTGACTGGTCAGCCTTCGCCGTCTAGTATCAATATACAAAGAGGTCAGTGATGAAAAAGTCAAAACCCACCACCTTGGCAGATGTTCTTCGACACGGCCCATATCTCCGAGAGTGCAGTGTTCGGGAGGAGCTGGACGGTGACGGCAGGGCCGCCCACAGCCAGCTCGAAGGTCGACCAAGTGCCATCGACGCCGAGCCTATACGCATATGGAGACAAAAGTGGTTAGTGGTATGCGACAAACAACTGGGTGCCTGGATCTCGAAGCCGTATCGTCGGACACCCGTAGGTACCCGGGGACACAGACAGCCAGGCAAGGAGGCGAGGGGCTGTACCATTTCGAAGAGGGCTGCAACCAGAGGCCGTCGGTCACGGCAGCAGCGTTTGCTGGAGCGAGGAGCGGCAGCAGCAGGACAAGAACATCACCAAGGCTCGCGGACGACCCGGGGGACAGGCGCATCTTGAAACCCGGGGCTCTCGTGCTTCACAAGAGGGATCGTGCGGTCGTCCGCGGTCACAGGGACACAGCACCGAGAGCGGTCACGGCATGAAGCGTGATGCTGTGCAGGTCCATGGGCCGAGGGGTTTCGCGAGCGAGGTTCCTCCAGGCCGGTGCCGGTGGCGTTTCCCTTTTTGCGCAAGAGAAAAAAAAAGCCAGAATCGAGTTCTCCCCCCCTCCCCCGATATCCCAGCTCCAGTCTGGTCGCAGTTCGTTTTCGTTTTCGTTTCTCGTTTGCTCTGCTGGAAAGAGCTATAGTCGCCGCGTGGCCGCGCAATTGGGCACGAAGGTGGTTTGCATGCTCGGTCGTTGTCGTTTCCCCTCGTTTCGTCTCTCCTCCGCCCACCCCTTTGATAGTCGTCACGGCGTGCGTACGGTGCGAGTTGTGTGGTCTGCCTTTTTTTTTTTTGTCTCCCTTCCCCCTTTTTTTCCCTCTTGTCGTTCAGTTTCGGCTCTCCCCTCCCCGGAAGTCTGGCTCGAGATGGTGGAAAGCAAAAAAGCAGAATGGCAGAAGGTTATTAGGAACCGCCGAGTCGGATCGTGCGTGGTGGGGACTAAGTAGGAAACGCTCGAGCCAGGGAAAAAGACAGGCAGGAAATCAAAGGGATTAGGTTGCGCCGCGGTTGGGGTGGCAGCGGCCAGAACAAGATGGGCTTGGGTCGCGCAGGGGGGTTGGAGGTCGTGGCATTGGAAGTGCATGGCAGGCATGGGGTGGACTGAACCGGACAGGCTGCAGCGAGAGATTTGCAGAAGGGCCCCCCGGCAGGCCAGAGTTCAAATCAAGTGGCAGAAGCGGTACCGGGGGGGGGAGGCGTCTGGGGCAGCCAGCCGACTCGACCTGGCCCATGAACTGAGCGATGAGGAGCTTGGCTGCGGCCCCGCCGAGCGTGCGGGTCAGGGATGCATCCAATGTGGTGCAGCAGCTGTCGAGTGACCCGCTGGCCAGGAAGGTGCAGCGCGGCGTGCCTGCCCGCGACCGATGGAGCCTGTTTGTGTTTGCGCTCTGGGCCTGTGCCCCATCAATCTCAACCATCATCCCTCGAATCGAACGGCTGCAGCCCACACCCGACAACCTTGAATCCCATCCAAAGAGGCACCCGAACTACTAGTAGCAGCCCATGCACGGGCCAGAATGGCTTCCTGACCCTGACGGGCAAAACAACCGCCGCACGACACACCCGGGCACGGACGCCAGGAAACGCCAGGCCAAGAGGCGAAGGGAGGGAGGAGGTGGCCAATGATGCTACCAGACTCGATCTAAATTACTCGACCACTCGAGGCAGGGTGGGATTACTCGGGGTACCCAGGGAGGCAATGGGGTTGCCGCAGATGCCCACCTGTCTGCTTTGTTTCGTTTCGACAAGCGGACAGGCCACTTTGGGTGCCACGCTGCAATATATTAGTGACAGGCCATGCCGTGGTGCATTTGCTTCGCCCGCGAGATGAGGGTGGCCATGTGCAATATGCCAGCAGCGATCGAGCAGGCTGGGGCATTGAGGTTAGGCGATATGCTAGAGTATGTACATTACAAATGCTGCCGGGCTAATTACCGACCTGGACGTCTTTCCGTGCGTCTCTCCGCCCGTGCTTGCTTTTTTCTTTCTTCTGCAGGAATCCCCTCCGCACTCACTCGCACTCCATGACCCTGGTCGCTGGCTAATCAGTCCGGGACGCCTTCGGCGGTGGTTGAGCAGCGATCGGCCATTTATTAGTTCGTTTAGCAACAGTCGTCCAAGCGCCCGGATTGGTCGCGTTTCCGCACGCTTGCAAACCTCGGCGCCATCCGACGCTTCCGTTGCCGGGTCTCGTCCCATTACTCGGTGTGTGTTTTTTTTTCGTCTCATCTGTTTTGTCCCGAATTATAGTTGGGGACACGTCAATTTCGTGTGGGCTCTTTTTTGTTGTTGCCATGTGCAGGCCTCAACCAAGCAAGGTGGTACTGAACGCAACCCAGGGCCACCTCGAGAGTCCTTCGCTGCGTGGTGCCATGTTTTAGCGGACTGAGCGCCAGACCCAAGCTGGAAAACTGGCGGTGCTTGTCAGACCGCTTGTGAGCTGTACCCCAGCAGAGACGCGCGGATAGTGGCCAGTGCCCCGAAAGGGTGTCGCAATGTGAGCGGAGCCAGCGGAGTCACCTATTGCGCAAAACCAGCCTTCTTGCCGGCCTTATTCCCTGGCGCGAGGCTTGGTTTGTGCGCGGGCCGCCTGCCACTGCCCTTTAACATATCGCTGCTAGCTGTTTTACCTCTTCCAAGGTCCTCCATGCTGTGTTGTGTCTAGATATAGCAAATAAGTAGCGTTCGGAAGGCCGTGGCATGAGATTTGAAATTCACCTCACATTGCCCTCTTGCCCGCTTAGGAGTACAATATCCGCTCACTCCGGGCCTGCGTACCGATACCGAAGTCTGGTAGTACAACGTTGCAGGTACGCGCATTGCTGTGGCATGCTGGGCATGGAGGGGGTCATGGGTCACGGCGGTTGGATCCGTGTACGATGAACCAGGCAGACAGTCGGCATTTACCCTTCCCGCATGGGAGGCACCACGTATTGTGGCGGCAGAAATCATCGCCACTAAACTCCTCGCGAGCCGTGACTGGCCGGGCGGTGTCGGGAGGGTGGGCTGGGGTCAATGATGGTGGGATGGCCTCGCTTGCCCTTGAGGGCAGCCCGTCCCCGCCCCCGTCAGCTCTCGGGCCACACAGGAACGGGTGGCATGTCTCAGACGGCGGCGGAGAGAAGGCGGCAGATGTAATCTATCCGACCAGTTTGGAGAAAAAGATGGAATCTGGATAAAGTCGGTGGGGGCGGCGACATTTTGCCGATGTAATCAATATCGCACCCCAAACCCGACCGTTCCGGGAGATGTCGGCCAGGTCAGGCGATACGGGATGAGGTCTACCTGTCTTGTTCGTCATCGTGTTCTTGTATCTCTCCCAGACTTGGTATGTCGGCCGGTGATGTGTTTGTTTCTGTCGATCCAGCCTCTGACCTTTTGTATTGAGCAATTGACCGAAATGAAGACCCAAGGCAGGTCTCTTCTTGTCACCCTACTTGCTCATTCACCAGAGTCGCCTATCGACAAATTTCTACTGGCTCGGGCCAAACCCCACCTCGGTCCCGGGACTGAGCTAGACGGGGATGGCGGAAAAGGAGTGAAACCTGGTGGACAAGCCTGCCGAGCGAGGGGTGTGTCACCATGTGGGAGCGGCCTCCTGGTTTGGAAGGTCCAAGTGGATGGGGGATGTCGTTTGGCCACGTGCAGGTGGGGAGCACCGCCAGACTGGCTGTGGTGGAGTGACTGGGTCCAGCTGAGCTCCATTCGTCTCGACTTGTTCAGACGAGAATTTCTCACCAAGAGAGGCCCTGGGCAGGGTGAGAGGTACCTACAGAGTTGCCCAGGTTGGTAGGCACCCTGCTCCTGCTGATCGATCCCTCGGATTGAAAAAGAGACAAATGTCAGGGAACGCACTTGAGGACAAGGGAGCTGTGTAGTCCCGGTCTGGGCCATTCTGGCGCACATACGAATCTCACCGGATCTGCTAGCTTTGTTTTCAGACACGACTCGAATATAAGCTGGGCGTTGGCCGGTGTAGACCCTCATAATACTATCGTCTTTGCGATTCCAGAGCACAGATGCCTCCCAGCAGACAGGCATGACAGAGGCATGAAAATCCCAGCCTGTTTGAGGATTTCGGATCGAGGTGAGGTCGCATTCTGGATGGAGTGGCCGTCATCCCTCCTGCCCGCCCCGACCTTCCCGTCGTCCCATTTACCCTTCCCTCCCCTCCCCCAGAATGGCAAGTCACTCGCACAGGCTACCCAATTCGTGGGGTTCTCGCTTCGAACGCGCGGTGCGATTGGCCGACATGGTCAACCATACTGTCGATCCTCCTGGCAGTCGGTCGAAGCAGGCACCTTGGCCAGTTGGACATTTGTTAGCATTGAATTGCGCAGAGGCCGGAACCCACCCCTTTCCCACGGACCCACGAGACGGCAAATGAATGAGGGCTGGGACGGTAGAGGATGCGTCAAGGTCAATTCGGGCTGCCATGGTGATCTCCACGTGTCGTACCACCTATCTCCAAGCATTGAGCTTATCATACACAGTAAAGGGATCTCAGTGCTGACTTGCGCGGGAGTGGAGGGGCACAGCGACACGCAGCAGTCGGGCTTGGGTCGCATGAATTTGGACCAGATTTCAATGTTCTTCTCCGGTCGCTTGGCCTCAGGCTCAGCCCCAACGATGGGCCCCCTGTGCGGATGTTCCCTTTGGCCGTGCTGACCCTACTGGCCTTGCCACACTCGATTTGACAAAACATGGAGAGCGCGATTGATTTGATCCAGGAACCAAGGGGCTGCTCAATGCCGACACGCGGTGGAAGCCACCCCCTGTTTTTGGTCGTGCACCCTCTCTGTTGGATCCCTGCTTGTGCCAATGGAATTGGCCAGCAAGCGAGGGGAAAGTAGGTGTCGTGATGATGCTGGCGAATAGGCGGGGGGAATCGATGTTCTGCCGGCAAGCGTGCTTGCGTGCGTTGGGTTGGATGCAGCTTCAGCTCCGAGGGGAGGGTGGAGAGGGTGGAGGATGGAGGGGCAGTATCGAGGCCTCTCGCCTGACCTAGCCGCCTCTCAAGAACACACTCGAGAACACGAGTGGCGATCCGACAAACCACGGCTGCAGCTGCGTGCGAATGGGAGGAGGCTCGAACCAAGCACGGCCAGACAAGCAAGGAGGGCGCCGCCGGCCAGATGCAAATCATGTGTGGCCACGCAGTGCCACGCAATCCAGCCTCTAATGTACTAGCACTGTGTAATCGCGGCGCATCAAGCCCCTAGAGTCCTCTCCTTTGATGGCCCAGGGGGACAAGCACGCAAGGCAAAGGCTTGCGACCGACAAAGCAAACCCCAGCCTCTGCTCCCCCGGCCTCCCACCCTTTACAGCCCGGTCCAGCCACCATGCGGTCTGGACAGTTGCGCTAGCGGTCTGGTTCCATGGGTGGGCGACGGAGCCGATGCCTTTGTGCCCTTGGCTGGGGCTGATTTTCTGATTTTCCCGTCTGCAACCCCCGCCCGAGGTCACATCGCCTAGACCGGACATGGATAAGCAAGGTTTGTGTGTGGAGAAGGAGAAGGGAAGCCCACAGCCTCGCTCGTGTTGCTCGCCCCAGAGGAAAACAGGCTTGATTTACTGACCAGCAGTGTCGACGGGCTCACCCACAGTATGCATGTCAGTCGGCACGAGCACGACATGTGTGCGGCGGCCTTCTCAGCCCTCAAAAGACGTTGAGTAGCATCCTCGGGATGTGACCAGCAAACGGGGCATTTGGCGATCGGTGAGTCGATGGCATGGACGGGGCTCGGGATGTAATGTCCCAGTCGGTCAAGCGGTCCCAGCAGGGCCAGTAATACCCCTGCCAGGCTGGACACCTGGCTGGGTGGTGGGGTCTCGGGTGTGTGCTTGACTGGGCTTGACTGGGCCCTGGAGTGGACGGAATGAGATTTGATATCGCCATTTTCCTTGCTCGCCTAACCAAGCTCATCGACCTGTTGGGGCTCGCTTCCGCCCATCGCGCGCTAGCTCCGGTTCCTTCATCGCTTCGACTTTCTGTCCCTGACAGCCTGCATCGAGCCCAGCGCCCTGTCAGACGGCGCCACCTGGGGCTAGCCCAGACGCCCAGATGCCCAGTCTGCTGCCAGAGCCAAGCAGCTTGCTTTTTTTGCCTCGTCGGAAATTTCCCGCCCGGCAGCCACACTCTCAGCAGCACCCACATACACCCCTGGCCTTCAGGTTGTCCCAATCCTCAGGCCGGGTCGAGTCGGGGCCCCAGTGCCGGATAGGCCTAGACTGCGTGCGTCCCCCTCTGCAATATTAGCCAGCCCTCGCTCCGCATGTTGAATGTCACTGTCGCTCTTTCACCCCACACGTGCCGCCCGTCCACTCGCTCCGTCTGTCCCTCCCGGTACATCGGCCTCGCTCGCCCATACACCAAGCAGCACCTACTCGCTAATCCCTCCTCTGAGCAGCAGCCGGTGGTGTCGGTCTGCCTTCCTTTCTTGGCCACGTCTGTCATCTTTCTGTCGGCCAAACCGTGAATGGAGGCTTCGCCTTAGGTCCGGCGAACGAAGCCTCAGAAGAGAGTATCTGAGGGTCCACTCCTTTCATCTTTTTTCTCTCTCCCTACCTTTAATCTCTCTCGTTTATCACTTGGAGAAGTCAAAGGTCCGCGAGAAGTCACAAGGTCACATAGCGGCCCTCCCCAGACTTTGGGGAGAGAGGTAGGGAACCATGGTTGCGGCACGGGTGGCGCTACTTTCCCTAGCAGCTCTGTCGAGCTGCATGTTCGGGGCCTTTCATGGAGGTTAGTGAAGAGTATCCCCTGGCGTTGTGACCTAGACCTTGATCTTTGTCGTCTAACATTCGTGTCGACATCTAGCTCCCCGAGTTGGACGGTTAGAAAGGCGGCTCGCCTCGGCAGACGGCACCCTGCCGAGCAATGGGTCGACATCAGGCAGCACATTGTCGTCCGCGTCCACGTCGTCAGCACTAGACACGGTGACAACAGTGACACAATCAACAGATAGCAGTAGCACGAGCGCAGGCACAGGCACGAGCAGCATAGCCACCAGCAGCACGGGCACATCACCGACGTCTGACGACCAGCCCTGCCTGACTTGCTCAACCTCGTCCATCTCAGCAGCCCCGGCGACATCGCCACCACCACCGCCGCCGCCGCCTCCGTCAACTACCCCATCACTGTCTGAAGCTGGCTCTGGCACGCCTCTGTCCCACGGCACAAGCTCCAGCACACCGGTGCCCGAGACAAGCTCCAGCGCATCTGTGTCTGATACGAGCTCTAGCTCATCAGTACCCGAGACAAACACCAGCAGTTCTGTACCCGGGGCAAGCAGCGCAACTGAAACGCATTATGATGGAAAGGCTCCTGCGGCTTCGGGAGCTGGTGCCGCGGTGCCTGCGGCTCCTGCTCCCAACCCTAGGAAGGGCCCGCCTGTGATCCCGACCAGGGCGGCGGATGCGTCGCTCAAAATTACATCGACATCGATGGACTTTGGTCGGCCTCCCCCTGCCGAGTCGACTTCTACGTCGACATCTACGTCGACTCCTACATCGACTTCTACATCGACTTCCATCTCCGTGCCCGTGCCCATGCCCACTGCCCCAACGCCCAGGAAAGGCCCGCCTGCCATCCCGACCAGGGTGGCGGATGTGGGAGATAAGTTGACTATAACGTCAGTCGACTTCGATCGACCGTCTCCTGCCCAGCCGACCGACATAGCGTGGCCGCCCACGGATGACCGATATCCCGCGTCCAAAATGCCCCCGGAAGTCTTCGCTGGCTGGTCGTCGACCCGCGGCCAGGTGGATTTTGACTGGGGCAGAGTGACGTCGGGCGTGGACAACATAGACAACATCAACACGTGGAGCCAGGTGACCTGGACTGGGAGTTGGTTCACCGTCTCGGGCGGGCAGACACGCAGCGCCTGCCAGGCCTCGGACCTGCTCAAGCCGTCGACTGTCTACTCCATCACGCACACGGCGACCATCACCTGGACGGGCAACCCCAAAGACTATACGCCGCCGTATCCCCCCATCGTCACACCCGCGCCCTGCACCAGGATCGATACGGATCAGCACGAAGGGCCCCAGCGCCTGACCCTATCTCGCTGCACCTCGACCGGTCCTCTGGACATATACAAGACGTGCCAGCTCACCACCGTCTACGATGTCTCGGAAAAGCCAAAGCTCACCTCCGACTACCAGCCCATTGCCACGAACCTTCCCCCAGTCACCTTCATCACCACCGACAAGAACCCTGCCGTGGTCTTCCCCCACATCGAGACCCCTGACTACGGCTCTGGTGCCAGCACCCGTTTCAACGTCAAGAATCCCGGCGGCTCCGAGCAGACGCCGGGCGCCGTCGCCAATAATGACAACCCAAACCCTACCGGCGGCAGTGGTGGTGATGGAAAAGGCGCTCGCCCGCTCGGCCCTCCTGTCACCGTCTCTGTGCGTCCAGGCGTCGTGGTCATCAACGACCAGACCTTCACCGACAGCCCCGTCATGCGCACCCAGATTGTCCGGGTCGGCGGCGAAGTCTTCACCATCGAGCCCACCCGCGTCGTCGGCGCCGGCGCAACGGTCGTCCGGCCGGGAACCGGTGCCGGTGCCGGCGCTGCGCCCCCTGCCACCTTCCCCGCGCAGACGGCCACGATCGGCGGCGTTCCCGTCATTGTCAGCGGGCGCGTGGTCGTGGTCGAAGGCACCACCTTTTCGCTCGACGGCCAGGCCACCACCAAGAGCGTTGGCGACCGCATCGTGTCCATCGGCCCGGGAGGCATCGCCGTCGCCACGGGCCCTTCGGACCCCGCCCCCGCGCGCCTGACGCCCGCCCCCGCGTCGGCAAACCCGCAGCAGACCGAGGTGGTGGTCGTGGGCGGCCAGCTCGTCACGGCCATCGGCCAGTCGGTCGTCGTCATCCGCTCCACCACCATCACGTACGGGCCTGCCGCGCCGGCCACCACCGTCGACATCAACGGCGAGCCCGTGGTCGTGGGCCCGGCCGGCGTCACCATGGGCGGCACCGTCCTGGGTGGGCCCCGCGCCCGGCCTGGCGAGACGCAGTACGAGATCGTTGGCGGCGCCACCCTCACCCAGCTGGCGCCTAGCCTGGTCGTCATCCGCGGCACCACGTACACGGTCGGCCCCGGCGCCGCCTCCACCACCGTCGTCGTCGGCGGCGAGACCGTCACCATCGGCCCCTCGGGCGTCGCCGTCTCGTCCCTGTCCTTCTACTACCCACTCGGCCTCGGCTCCGCCACCACCATCACGCCCGGCGCCACCGCCGCTGCCGCCACCGCAGGCCCTACCGACGGGGGCAAGGACTCCGGCGGCGGGAACGGCGGCGAAGGCGGTGGGGACCGCAAGGAGGAGGACGCGGCGGCTGGTCTCAGGCCAGCCGGCCTCGCCATCAACCTCGTGGTGTCTGCCGTCGCCGTCGGCATCACTCTCTGGTGGATATAGCCGGCTTCGCACCATGAAATTTACATTTCCAAGTTTCATACTGCATGTCTCATGTGTCTAGATTCTTATCGGGAATGGATCGCACATGGATACTTTTTTTTGAACTTCGTTTTTTTTTTTGTTTCTTTATCATCTAGGTATATTCACCTGGTGAATCGAAAGGCGTCCAAAGGAGCGACGGCAAAGCATTGCAACATAAATGTCTGTTTGGATTGAGCGCGGATTTTGCCGCGTGATGGGAGGAGAAACTTGGGGCGAAGCTGTATGTATCAACAACGCTGCCCGCAGGTGGAAGGGAAAGGGGGGGCTGGTTGGATATTTGTACGAGACATGGGGAAAATACCCGCAAGGCGAGCAGAGACGAGATAATGTGTCAATACCCAAGCGTTTCGAATGCATCCACAAGCTTTGCTCATATTCTCTGCGGGCGACGGAAGCCGATCATCGGTTTTGGGCTACTAGCCCGTATCTAGGCGCTTTCTTTTTCGCTTCGTCTTCGGAGTGGATGGTGCCCAAGCCGCGATCGCTTTGAGCTGATGGCACTTGCAACCGAAAATGACAGGACCTACAAATCGAGGGGGTTTCACACATTTACTTTTAGAACAGGTGGAGTCGAGGATAACCCCTCGTCCCGCAAACAAATAATCACTCTCGCTCTCAAATCGACAGGAAAAGCAGCTTGATTAAACTATATCTATAAGGCCCGGAGCTCCCGAGCAAAGGGTAATTGCATTCTGAACCGCAAAAAGCTTGCGCCTTGGAGCTGAACGCCATGCCGGCTGGTTGTGAATGGGACTTTGATCGCAGAGCAAATAATTTCAAGTAAAAATGAAAACCAATGGCGAGATTGGCCGAGAAACTGCAGTGAGAGAGGAGTCAGCAGGAAAAAAGAAAGAGCAAGATAGGATTGAGGGGAGAAATAGAAGAGGAAAAAGAAAAAAAAACACACTCCATATTCGACCCACCAACGCCCTCAGGTCGCTCTCCCCTTGCCCTTGCCCTTAACCTCAAGGGCTGGGAACTCGGCATCAACCGACCCGGAGCGGCCCGCGCCTGCTCCCGGCCAGCCCTGCCCCTCGCTTCTCTCTACAGCGTCTTCCGCATCCTGGAGACTCAGCCGCAGCGCGAGTTCGAGGTCGTCCTCGTAGCTGCCGGCACCGCCGCCGAACGACACATCCCTGCTAGAGTCCTTAGCTCCATTAGCGGCAGGCCCGACGCCGCCAAGACTCCAGCGGACTTTAGTGGCGGATGACGAGGCCGCCGTGAGGGGTTGCTTGCTGCGGCTGGCGCCCCCAGCCATCTCCGCCTTCTTCTTCTTCTTCTTGTTGGGCTTGAACTTGACCCGAAACTCGTACTCGCCCGAGCTGCTATCCCGAGGTGACTGTCCCTCGTCATTGGCACCAGCTTCGAGCAGCGACAGACGGATTGCCTGTTGGATCTGGCGCTCGTAGTCGTCGTCGTGTGCCCCATCCTGGCTAGCGTCCTCAGCCCGGTGCTGCTGCACAAGCATCGCCTGCGTTGACGGTGCGGCCGCTGCCCCGGCGGGACTGGTATCAGGAGTGACTGTGCCGGCTGAGCGACCCTGGCCTGTGCATGGAGACGCCGAGTCGCCCATCTCCTCATCTGCGTCAGCAGCAGATAGAGAGAGTGACGATGACGACTGGGAAACAGAAGCAGCCTCGTCGCTCGTATTGAGCCGCCGCAGCTCCTCGTCTACCCGGAAGGACTCTTCCGATATCAGTTGTGCGTATCTGAGGGCCTCCTCTTCCGTCAAGTCGCCCAGTCCGACCCCAAAGCGACTGCGGAGTCGCGCCTCCTCTCGCATGCGGTGCTCCTGGTCCCGCCGAAGTTCGGCCGCTTCGGCCTTGATATAGTCCATGACCGTTCCGCCGACGCGGCGTCCGCTGCCTAAGCGGCCATGGGCATCCGCGTGATGGCGTAAGCGGCGCTTTTTGCCGAGGGCTTGAGCACCACCATCGGAGCTGTAGGTCCAGTATCGAAGGAAGGTGCCAAAAGCGAGAATGCCACGCATGGCAGCCGGATCGGGGTCCAGGTAGATGGCCCCCACGGCCGAGTGGTTGGCATCCCGGAGCATAGGGTTCGCATTGAGGATGGCGCGTGGTATCCGACCTGAGGAGCGCGAGTTCAGAGTGCGGACAGGCTCCATGTTAGAGGCCAGCGGATCCCATGCTTGCGCCAAGCCATCGCTGCCACCGTGGATGACGTAGAGCGATGACAATCCGAGAGCCGAGATTTCGGGAGACTCGGTCTGGATAAGACGGATCGGAGCGATGGTGTCGCTCGCCGCGTCGCGGACGTTCCACACGAAGACGGCGCCGGAGCTAGTGCCCACCGCCATCATCCTCGCGCGTTTGCCAGGTATCTCGCCCACAAGCTGCTTTCCTGTCGCGGGCGTGGGAACGCCGGTACCTGCGTTGCTTCCTATGCCAGTCACGTTTGCCGTCCTCGACGGGTCTTCGAAGATGGTCGTTACTGCGTAGGTAGAGTTGTCTATCGCAGTCGCCGTGATTTCAACCATGTCTTGCCCCTTGCCAGCAAAGTTGAAGGATGCGACATCCCACTGCTCAACGCCTTCGTCAATAGAGTTTCCAAGCTTTGAGTCACCGGGCGGCGTCGGCATCTCGGCGCCATCAGACCGCGACAGTGTCGTTATTGGGGCCCGTACGTTAGACTTGGTGGACGGCGCGGATCCGAATATCGAAGACGATGGCTGCGGCCCCGGCGTCCCGACAGCGGATGCATTGACACAAGGCGTGAAAATAGAGCCGGGTGAGGACTGAGGCCCATGCCGGATGTACCTGAGAAGTCCCGCGGGATGTTCGGGCTCAATACCGCATGTGATAACGACAATTGCCTCCCCGCCAACACCGCTGCCACTGCCCCCGCCGAAATCAACCTCGAGTCTCCGGCGCATGTCCCATCCCGTGCAGATCTTCCTAAAGTGGGAAGGCGTATGCCGCAGGAAAGTAGATATGTCACGGGCTTCCGAAGCAAGCTGCTCCGTTGTCAGGCCCGCCCTAATGGACGATGACCGAGGCGAGTAGATACAGGCGGCGGTGTCCATGTCAGTCTCGTCCGGTGACGCCATTCTGCGAGTAGAACCAACGAGCTCCCAGTATGCTGTACGACCAGTATACCAAACATGCGCAGGCATCTCGTTGGCCTTGGGTCTGGCAGCCGGAGGAGTTGGGGTATCGGCCAGATAGAAGATCTCCCCGAGCGCGTTCAGAGCAACAGCCCAGACACGCTTCATGGCCTTGCGCCTGGGGCTGTAGTGCTCGTCGACCTCGAGTGCCACGATTGGAACGCCGGGGCTCAAGACCCATCGACAGGTCATATCGCCCCTGTTGTACCGCGGGCCAGACGACTCGGAGCCGAGCGAGTACGATGTTACGATACCCAGTGTCGAGCCGGTCAAGATGCCGACCACGGAATGGGTCAGAGATGGTACCGCCGACGATTTGGCGATCCAAACTGAGCAGATAGCATCAATCATCTCTGGGATCTTTGGGATGTCCTGTGGCAGAGCATCGATCCATGCAGCCGGCTGGATACCAAGGTACAGGCCACTTGGCTCGCCCACGGGCCGAAAGAAGGGTCGTCCGCCAGGAAACCCCTCTCCGGCGACCAAGCCATACGGGACACTAACATCCGTCACATTCAGGGTAGCGGCAGGGCCGATATCAGTTCCAAACGGGACCAGCTGTGGGAATACGTCGTCAAGCTGCGGCAGGGAGAAGTCGTCGTCCAAGCCCCATCTCTCGATCTTGCCGCTCGTCGGATCGCCCAAGGTGCAGATGCCAAGATCCGCAGATGCGTGGATGGCCTTGGGAGACCTCTTGGGGCCCGGGGAGAAGACGGCATGGATGTGGGAGACCATCCATGGCAGCTTCGAGTTATAAGTCAGGACAGCACTCGCCCTCTTGGCAGAGACGGCAGCGAGGGCTCCCGGCTTGCCTCTTGCGGCACTGCGGAGCAGCCTTGTGCGAAGCAGGTACTCGCTGCGCCACGACGCCAGCGAAGTCATGCGGGCAAAGGGCCGGGATTCGGAGCGAACCCTATCCAGGACATCAGCGTCCCACGCACCGGCCGACTGTGATCTCGAGAGGTCCTGGCCAGGAAAGTGGCGTAGGAACGCCATCTGCCACGCATGTGGCGTCGTGACGAGGGCGTAAAACCGCTTCGAGACCAGCGCGACGGAAGCGTGCGCGTCGGGGTGCAGATGCGAGAGAATATGAGTCAATATTTCTATACCAACCATGTGGTGTTAGCTAGACAGCCCCCAATGCCACGGGGTCAACCTTGAGCTCGATGCCCCTCTCCTCTGCGTCTGAACGGACCATTCGGAAAGTCGGTCAGCTGGGTCCCTTCAGAGGGAGAGCCCGACCGCTTCGCAACGTTGAAGCCCAGTTGTTGCTTCGGAGCAGTGGGCGTGAGAGCATTCTCATATTCGGAGACTCTCTGGCCGGCTATGGCCGGTGCAGGGCGGTGCGCCCGATCGTGGCTGCTCAGTCGGCGTAGCTTCTCGTCGAGCTGACGGGCGTTGACGGCGCCGGTTGCGGTGGCCGCGTCTGCCTCGGGCTGGACAGAGCGAGGCGAGCGGCCGCTCTGGGAGCCGGGCGCGGGAGCATGCCGGTCCCGGTGGCCGTCCGAGCGGGAGCGATGGAAGCCATCTTGAGAAGTGGGCCGAGGGGACCTTGGGGTTGCGGAGAGGGGGTCGCGGTCTGAGGTCTCAAGAAGCTCTCGCTGCATAAAACTGATGGATCGCGGTGGTGGTGGGCAGGGTTCGTTGACTGTGCGACAGGGAGCTGCACAGTCTATCGATTGGGGAGGGCTGCAGGTGCCAGGGGGCTGGCTAGCTATGCACGTTTAGTAGCGTTTCTATTTGCGCTTGGCTCTTGGGAGCCTTGTTTGGTGAGAATCGGCGGGCGCAGACAGGGTGTTGGACTGGAGCGTGTGACGTGCGAAGGAAAATAGTGCACAGCAAAAACAGCGATCTCATTTCCGCGACTTTGGAGTTTTGCCCAATTTCTGCGCGTCACGGCGGATGCCGTTTCCCCGAACATTTGCCGATTAACCTTCAATAGCTCCTGGACCGTCAAAGCTCAACCAGTGTGGCGGGCTGTTTGCCCGCATGCAAAGCGACTCAGTCAATACACAAGCCAGCGGGAGCATGAGTCGGGGGCTCTTGCTTTCCCCGCTGATGCCTCGGCAGTCTACCGTTCCTTCCTGACTTCTGGGACGGCAAGCCCGACAGTCATGGGCGAAATCATGGAACGTCTGTTTATTTTACGATTTTTACCTACCCCTTCCATAGAAAATGTGGAGGGGCCGTATGGCCATCCATTCTAATACTGGTGCGCGAAATGCCCGACCAAGCAAAGGAGGCGTAAAAAGCTAATTACGATGAGAATGCCCCCTGGGGCTTCACGTGGCTGCCTTCCCTTTCTCTCATCCCGGCGGTTTTTTTTTTTCTTTTTTTCAATTTCCTCTCTGGGATATCTCCTCACTCACCATATGCCCTAAGCCGAGAATGTCAACCCACCCCTGTCAGGCGATCCTCCCACAAACTTGACTTAGTTTGTCTTCGCTTGGGGTTGGTAATGGCACCGATACTACAGCAGTGCTGGCACTGTCAGCTCCAGACATGTGGCGTGCATCGTCGTTGGCCACTCCCGCACAGGAACGAAGGCTGGCACACTAACCAAGCGGTGAAGCAGCTGAAAAGACGAGGTGTGGGGGGACGGATGCAGCGCGTGGCATGGCTGAAGGGGTCCTGCACATTGCCATGCTCTCGCCATGCTGTCCGAAACTGGCTAGAAAGTGGCAGAGGGAGGCCGTCCAGCCGAGCGTCTGAGCCGACTGGGCAGCACATTGGATGACGAGCGGCCAGGGTCATTGGTTGCTTTGCGCACGTATTCCGAGCCGACACTAGATGAGGCATCCGCCGACGCAGGAAACCACTTACACCGAGCCCAACCAAGCAGGCATCCGGACCACAGCGCAACGGGCGGCGGGGACCGTGTTCTTCGTTTAGTCGTTTTGATTCGGGGGCGTGCGGCTACCCACCGCAGGGCCCTCAGCGATGCTGGCTAGCGTGCTGCATGGAACTCGACGGCCTGGCTTGGCACGCTAGTCGCCATGCCTGGTCGACAGCTTACGGGCGTAGGGGAATACCAGGGGGACGGTTGTGGTAGACGGCAAACCCGGCTGCAGCCGGCAGGCAACGCACGGCTCCAGACGACACGGAGAAGGGCGGTCTATTGTCAGCTGCTATGCAGAACACGGCGGCGAGGTGGACCGTCTGTCCATGTGTCAGCCATACGATTCGCGTCCCGGAAACCTCGTCACGACGCCACCCAGTTTCACGGGGGCCAATGGGAGCGTCCTGGAAAAGCTACGGTGTGCGTCAAGAAAGGCAGGTTTTAGGAGAACCAATACAGTTACGTGATGGAACACAACCACGCAGAGATAGATAGATATGTGGGCGTTTGTGGTGGCTCTGGCGTGGTACGGTATGCACGTTACGTTGTGTTTTGCTGGTTTGGCGGGGCAGATTCGCCTGGGCTCATCACGACGCTCAAAATGGAGGGTGGTTACGGGGTGGTCTCGGCCGAACTCCCCGTTTCCGCAAGGAGGAGAAAGAAGTGGGCTTGGAAGTGGAAAGAAAGGAGGAAGAAGCGGAAGGGAAACAACAAGCGCTCGCAATCAACGCTACATGCAGCAGCGTCGATGAGGCCAGCACCGGATTGGTCCAGGTGGACTGCGTGCTCTGCATCCAAGTGGCAGCCAACGGCCAAGCGTTTCCACTCGAACCCGCCAAACTGGGACGGCAGGCGGGTGATCAAGAGCTTTTGTGCTGCTGCACAATAAATGATGCGAGCCGCCCGGTTCAAGTCCAAGGCGGTGGGTGGGCCACCAGAACAAAATGGCGCGCTTGCCGGAACAGGTCGCCCGGCACTGTCCTTGCTTGGCTGGAATCGTCGCTAAAGTGGAGGCGGGTTCAAATCCCGAGGGAGGGGAACGGACGGACTGCAGGCTTCGTGTGCATGCAGCGCAAACGGGAAGCCAGCCAGGGCCGGTTATTCGGGTCGCTCTCCAGTTTTTGGTTGGCCTAGAGGCCAGCACCTCAGCTCGCAGCCAGGCGACGTAACCCCAACAGGCGGCAGCGTCTTTTAGTTGAAAATGCTGCCACCCGCTTGGGCTTGGACTCGGGACCGATGGTGCTGTTTTATTGTGCCGTCTACTTACCGGTTACTTGTCGCCTTGCTAGCTTGCCTGGTCGTCCATCGCCCAGATGTCCATGGAACCGGGGCTGGGGAAGGGAGTGAGTGACGCAAGACCAGCGCAGGACGATGCCCGTAACAGCAATTCTAGCCTCCCAGCACCCCGTCCGCCGGAATGGTCCCCGGTCTTCATGGTGCGCTTGAGCGATCGCCGGCTGCGCAGCTCCCAAATCTCATTCTCCCTCCCTTGCACCCGGTGTCTACTAGTGGATGGTGCCCGAGGCTAGGGGAGTTTGGGCTGGGCTGGCGCGCGATGGCTGCGCAGCCACTATGGGATGATGTCTTGGGAGGACACCAACTAGAGGGCAGGCCTACAGGGCACGGCCGTTTGCTCGCCGTTTGCATGGGGTGCGGGGGACCATGCAGGAGGAAGCCCGTTAGCTTGCGCCAAACAAAATACCAGCCAGCCGCTGCATGGGAAAGCACCCCGACACCAGCATCAACTCATGGCCCAACTTCAACAAAAGGCAAAACAGTGTCTCGAGTCTTGGGCATGATATGGAAAGCACCTGGTCCGAGGGCTGGTTGCTCTGGTCAGCAAACCCAATCAATTACGTCCGGGCAGCCGGGTTCGAGGAAGATCCCGGCGACGTTTATCTCGGCCGAATTAGCTCGCTATGTTTTGCGCTCACCCCCCCTCTGCCGGGCGACGGTGCTGATGCTCCACAGCAGTGGCCGAGGTCGAGCTTTGGGCAATGCCAAGTTCGACGGCTTCTGGGGACTCAGGGCAGGGGTGGTTTCGGGGGAACATCCTCTTGTAGCAAAACATTCTCCGTGTGCTTTGGAGATACGGCGCACGGCGTAGCGCCCTGTTCTATATCGGCAAAGCCTTCAAAGCCCGAGACTCTGTGCGCTGCCCTTAAGTGGGACATTTGTTTTCCAAGACACCCGGATTGGCGGGTGGGTGGGCCGCTGAGATGGCCCTACAGGCCCGGGGGGGGGACGGACTGTGTCCCAGGCCATCGGTTCATGCTCCCAAAATGGAAAGGGGGAGAAAAAAAGCAAACAAGGAAGAAAAAGAAAAGAAAAGGAGAAGAAAACATACCCGTCTGGCGGCGTCAGACACAGCGATCCTCTTATTCGCTAAGCCAGATGGTTAGAACCGTGAATCCTCTCAGCGACGCGACAGGCCCTGGGAGTCAGGTTTGTATCGTTGGCTTTTTTTTTTTTCGCTGGCGGTGCCAATTCCCAGCTGCCAGCTCCCAGCTCCTGGGAGAGGCAGTGCCGACCGCCACCCACACCCGGAACGGCACTTGCCCTCCACCACCATGGATTCAAGGGCTGGGTGGTGGTGTCAAGCCTGCCGCGAGCGGGGGTGGTAGTGTTGGTTGGACACATCATTTCTGCATCGCAGCAAAAACTCAGCCGGCCGTCTACCCAAAGTTTAACTGCCTCAATGTCTTGGGGGGGCCACTACGTCAACGGTACCACCACCCTCCGCCCGCTATGGGCCCACGGGCGGGCGGCGATGGGGGACATGGCATGGAGGTGGCGGCAGACGGACAACAGGACGAGAAGAAGAAGAAGAGGGGGGAAAAAAAATACATAATAGAGCCCATGTCCTCGGGGCCAAGAGCGCCGACGGTCACCGGCGTCGCTGCTGCAGGATGCATGTTGCCCCAGCCGTGGCTGCAGCTACTAGTAGTTGGTATGCAGCTGGCACCCCTCAAGAATACAGAAAAAGGTCCACTTTGGTCGCGATACGTGGCGAGGGGGACCCCGATGGGATGATTGGAGGCGGCCGGTGGTGCGGTGTCGTGCAATGCAACACGCACCCAGTTGCGTGGGCGGCTGGGAGGGGAATGGGCGGGATCGACTGGCCGCCCATGTCTGCGTCGAGACGGCTTGGAGATATTCGTCCAGAGTTTTCGGGTATCGAGATACCGAGGTACATAGGAGCTCGGTGTTGACTGCCTAGTGTTGACTGCCTAGTGTTGACTGCCTGGGTGCAGAATACCTACTGGGTGGGCGTGTGCCTATTACGATTGCACGTGTCCACCTAACCCTCTAACCCTCTAGGGATTACCATTTGGGTGGGTTAAACATGATGAGAGCTCCTCGAAACGAGCCGTTGGCTGGCCCCTCCACTTTTTGCTTTTTGGTACTCGCCTCAACATGGAAGTCGCCAGCGGCTTTCTACACAGTAAATGTTTTAATGGTCCCCGGGCAGAGCGGAGCCACCTGCCCACCCAGCCTGCAGCGCTATCCCGCAAACAACGATAGCCTGGCCCTCATCTCTGGGTCGCTGCTCCACCCACTCGGTCTGGCATCTGCGTTTCCCTAGCCTGTCCCCCCTAGCTGGGACCCTTTGCAGCTCGCTGGCCTGCTCCCTGCCGCCGCCTGCGAGTCTTGCTCCCCGACTTCTTCTATCCCCCTCTCCCCATCCCGTCCGTCCCATCCCGTCCAAACCCCCTCCCTCTGGGCCGAAGGAAAGCCATCTTGCCCGTGTTGGTTTTTTTTTTCCTTCTTTATTTTTTACTTTGGTGGAGAAGCCTGTTTCCAGCCTCGGCCATCACGAGGAAATCGCGAAACCCACAAGCAACAGTTCCCCCTTTCGGTTCCTGCCATTGAATCATCTAGTTGCTTGCTGTCTGTCTCGGCTTGCCGGTGCAACTCCCAGCAAGAATTAACATCCTGGACAGGCTTTGTTCGGGACGGGCCTGGGCCGACTTGGTCGAACGGCGGGGATCAACCAAACAACCGGAAATCCAAACCACTCGCAACGACGCAATCGATTTTGTGCATCCAACTCTCCGCCCCGCCCAACCTGCCACAACCGCCTCTTTTTTGCCAAGCGCTTTTTCTTCTTCCCGGCCATTGGTTCTAGGTTCTCTGTCCGCCCAGCAACAGACTGTGGAATATGACGACAAGCTCTCGAGAGTAGCTGGTCTCGTCATAGAGTGTCGGCTCCAAGTGTGCTCACTCGGGATTTGAAGGATACCAGGGCTCCACATCGACCTACCTGCCTGCCTCTAGTTCTGTCGTCTCGAATCGACAGGACCGGTACACTACTACCGCTGCTACTAGCATCACTACAAACAACTTATACGCCACCGTGTGGCGTGGTTCCGTCACTTCAAGATGAGCTCACAGGCGCAGTCGGGGCCTTCAGGGCCCCGGGAGAAGGAGAAGAAGGGGCTGGGCAAGGTCTTGTCCAGGATGAAGACGGTGCTCAAGAGGGACAAGCGAAAGTCAGCCATGGTGCCTACTTCAGTTATAGTCACCGCTGGCCCCTCAACCACTGCGCCCAAGCCCGCGGTCAGGTACGTATCTGGGGATATTCGATATCGCTTGGAATCTACTATGTGTGGCCCATTAACACCCGCCGCACCTGTAGCGAGCCATTACCACCCAGGCCCAAGATCATTGACCTGCCAGGCTCAGTCAAGATCCCGCGTGCTCAGATCCACGAGGAGCGCGCCCGGCGGCTGGGCGAGAGGTACGGCTTGGAGATCAAACCCAGCGAATGGCACTCGACCGAGGGCCACGCCCTGCGCGTGGACAAGCCGATCCGGATGCGCGTGCGGCGGGAGTGCCATGTGTGCACGACGCAGTTCGGGCCGACCAAGGAGTGTCCCAAGTGCCAGCATTCGTGGTGCCGGCAGTGCGTCCACTACCCACCGCGTCGCACCGAGGAGCAGCTGGTGGCGAGCCGGATCCACCGGGCCGCCATCCTCAAGGAGCAGCGGGAGAACGCGCCCATAATCCCTGACTACTCGGACCCGCTGCGCGAAAAGAATATTGTGCTCCGGAAGCCGGCCAAGTCGGGCGGCCAGGACCTCATCCACAAGAAGCCGCGCCAGCGTGTGCGCCGCACTTGCCACGTGTGTCTGGCGCTATTCCAGGGCTCCAACAAGGCGTGCAGCAACTGCTCGCACGCCCGTTGCACGGATTGTCCCCGCGACCCGTATGTTCCGCTGCCACCCCATCGCTCGCCCCCTTGTTCCACTTGTTCCTCTTGCTTGTCCAGGGGAGTAGCGCTCGCTAACCTTTTCTTTCCTTCACCGATCAGGGCCAAGAAGGACAAGTACCCATACGGTTATCCGGGAGACGAGTTTGGACCAAACTCTATCCCGCACTACCAATGCCACTGCTGCAAGACCAAGTTCCTACCGGCTGCCGAGCCAGGCGCCGAGTGCAGCAAATGCTCACACGAGAAGTGCGACCAGTGCCCACGCCTACTGCCGCAAAAAGTCGAGCCCGAACCAGACCCGGCCGTTGTCCAGAGCATCGAAGCAAAACTGGCGAGCTTGAGATTCGGGTGATTCTGGCCGACAAGGCCAACGAGGAGGTGTTGATACGGAGATGGAGTCATTGGGGGGCTTTACAGCGATAGCGATTTGATTTGGATGGCTTTTTTGGAGTGCTGATTCTTGTTTGATCTTTTTTATTATTGCAACTACATATTGTCTATTCTCTGGGTTTCAACCACTTGGCATATCGAGCTGTGTCTCTCTCTTTTTTTCTTTTTTTTTTTTCTATTAAGAGAAGACCTCTCACGTCATGTTGGTTGAACCAGGCATCTACTCAAAACATCCGACGAGCATGAACGAATACACGAGACGATTTTATGGTACTTTTTCAATGACACCAATGCTGGTTGTTACTCGCAAGAAAGACAATGCGCAAGACAACCCAAAGACGCTAGCCGTGCTGGTCTGCCAATGCGGTGCGTGCATGTACAGCCTCTCTGATCCTCGACCCGACGGTTTGGCCTACGGACGGGTACGTACCCGCCGGGCTGGAGCGCGCGACCCGAAAAAAATGGCAAATTTCGTGCATGTATGTTTCGGGACCCCGAACCAAGCATTTGTGCCAAGCGAGAGCGTTTCGAGAAGGGAACTGTCATTCGAGGCTACAAGTTGACGGGAAAGGGGGTGGCCTGGCCTTGTCTTGGAGCTAGCCACAAATGTCTTTGTAATGCAAACAAAAAAAAAAAGATTTAAGTCGTTGCTTTTTTGTTTTCGCTCCATGTCGGTAACCGCCCGCTCGGAACCCAACCGGCTAACACGCCCGCCACAAAAAAGACGGCAGTCTTATAGAAGGTCCCAAGGATTGAACGAAATTGTCAGTGCCGTGAGCTTTCCTATTTCTATTTTTTTTTCTGCTACTATTTCTATATTTTATTTTTTGTGGTGGGCGTGGCTGGCAAAGAAGAAGACGAAGAATGGTTTCCCAGCAGACCGGTCTTGGTCGGCCCAGGCCGCTGGGACCTGACCTGCTCGGTGCGTCACAGCGTCCAAGCTCTCAGCTGGGAGGGACGGATGGATGCCAATTGCCAATTGCCAATTGGACGGATCGGGCAGCGGGCAGTTGAAAATCACCGCCCGCGGTTGATTGGGCCGCTTGATGGCCTGGGCGGCGGCGGGACACGCTGTGCGCTGTGGGTGGTGGATAGGAAAAGGCCCGAAAAAAGAGTTCGAAAGAGCGGGCAGGGCCTGCATGGAGGGTGCGGGACCCAGAGCCACGGTTGGGGAGGCTGCTCCACGGTACAGTGCGATAAGGGTTGGCGGGCACATGGGCTCTTCGCCCTGTCATCGCCTTGGCCCGAAAAAGGACCCCAGGCGAAAAAAAAACGGGCAGGGTAAGAAAGACGAATAAAAAAGAAAAGGGAAAAAAGGGAACAAACAAGAAATAAGAGAGATTAGACGAACATGGAAAAATCATACCACTTGAGCAACTATCCAAGGCTTGTTTGTATAACTGGCAAGCAAAAATGCATCCTTTGACACACAGCCTAAATGTTAGACACAATCTTTCAGCGAGGCACAACCGTCAAGAGCCCACCTATGCTCATGCACTCTTCCCTCCGGTCCGGTTCGCCGCTTCGGCATGCTAGCGGCGGCAGTGGTCAGTCACGATGTGTTCGTAAAAGTGCCGCCGGGTTCTCCGTCTTCCTCTGCCCAGCGTGTTTTCGCGGGCCCCAAATGCACTTCGGGTCCGGTAATGGTACCCAACATTTTCGTCGTAGATATCGTTTTGAAGTGTGGCGGGGTCGACCAATGTTGTCTGTGTGGCCAACCAGCCAGCCTGTAGCAGCTGCAAGTCCCGCCAAGCGGCATCACCTCCTCCCAAGCCGCCCCGCACGTAGCCTTACCTCTTCCTAGCAGCGCCATGTCTTGAGATATCCGCCATCTCTCGTCCTTCGGCGGCTTCGAAGCGCCGTTGCCAAACAGCACAGTCTCCCTCTACAGGTTGTTGTGTTAGTGATTATCTGATGCCAGCTGCCTAGGTAGGTGCCTACCTCGGTACCTACCAACACATCCAACTCCTCGAAAAGCCATTTTGCCCCGTCGAAATAATCCCTCTGCCGTGGAGCCGATATCATTTTCAACAGAAGAAACATGTATCTCATCAACACAAACACGTACCGTCTCAGGGAGTTCCAGGACCTGGCCGAGGTTCCCCCGTACGCAATCCTTTCGCACACCTGGGGCACAGACGAAGTCCTCTTCAAGGACATGCAAGGGGATTCCAACTCGGCCAAGGCCAAAAACGGGTACAGGAAGGTGGAGGGAATGTGCAAGAAAGCACTGGCTCACGGATACGACTACGCCTGGATCGATTCATGCTGCATCGACAAGTCCAGCAGCGCTGAGCTGAGCGAGGCCATCAACTCCATGTTCCTCTGGTACAAGGAGGCGGCAGTATGCTATGCCTACATCGAGGACATGCCGGCGCCAAAGTCACGGGGCCTGACCCGCGCCGAGGTTGTCGACCACCTGAGGCGCTCCAGGTGGTTCGGCCGAGGCTGGACCCTGCAGGAGCTTCTGGCCCCGGCAACCGTCATCTTCTACGACTCGGCCTGGCGCAACGTCGGCACCAAGGCCGGGTTCGCCATCGATATCTCCGAGTTCACCAATATCCACCTCACCGCCCTCCTGAGGCCGGACGAGCTCTCGGCCTTCAGCGTGGCCCAGCGCATGTCGTGGGCCGCGGGGAGGACGACGACGCGCGTCGAGGACAGGGCCTACTCTCTCTTCGGCCTCTTCGACGTCAACCTGCCCCCGCTCTACGGCGAGCGGGACAAGGCCTTCCTGCGTCTCCAGCAGGAGATCATCAAGCAGAACCCCGATCTCAGCATCCTCTGCTGGGATTCCCTCCCCCGCTACGGCCCTTCGGTCCTACCCAAACCTCCCTACAGTCTATTCGCCGCCTCCCCGGATGATTTCGAGCACTGCAAAAGTATTGACTCGGGCCTTATGTCTCGCGTAGGCGCCATCGCAACAGTCCAGGACCTCCACATTATAGATGCGAACGTAATCAGCATTGCGGAGATGGTGTCTGCCGAGCTTGACGAGCCAGGTGGTCGATCGCTGCCGCCAGACGAACTCTTCAGCGACTCGGGTCACGTTAGAAGATATGTGCTTCACCTCGCAAGCGATCACCGAAGAGGTATTACTTACGGGATTTACCTCAAAAAGATCCAACCTTGTCGCTTCACCAGAGATCTGGCTCTGCCCATCTTCACCATCGGACCAGGCGATACCGTAACTTCGCGGGCCACCAAGTGGCTGGCAGATACGCTCCAGCGAGATGTGTTCATCAGCATGCAACCAGATTCACCCCAGCGTCGAGACCCTGCGACAGACGGCGTTTACCTCCCATTTTTAAATCTGATGCCGTGGTGGATAAAGGGGAACCCCTTTGATCTAACACCGTTGGATTGCGTAAGGCGTCTTGGGTTTCATCCAACGGGCGACCAATGCATCGTGCTTGCCTTGTCCGTTCCGGTGGACAAGACGAGCGTGGATGTGCTGCTCGTTCTGACCTGGGAACAAGGCTGGGTTGGGCAACTGATGACTGGTGCGGAGCATCCGAAAGCGTACAAGTATTTTCTCAAGCGTTCCAGGTCAGAACAATTGTTACGGTATAAAATTCCATCGAGCACCGGCATAGCCTACATACCAGGCTACACTATCTCGGAAATCTGTGGCGAGCAGTGGAAGATCAGCGTTTCGGTGACGGATGAGGCCGAGCTCCTCCCGCACGTCTCGGAAACGGGGTTGGTTTATGTCGCCGAGTTATGGGTCGAAAAGATTGGTAGCGGTGAACGATTCAAGGTAGAGTCGTTGTGATTATATCACCATTTCTACCCGAGCTAGCAACGCTATTAAAGCACTGGCGAGACCGCCGCCCGAGGCATTTTCCCGAAGTTGTATTCGTTTCTTTCTACGTAGGATATCCTACCCATGCGCCTCTTCACTAGCATTAACTCAGAACAGGCCTCATTGAACGCCACGTCACACGTACCGCTAGCCCAGAACACACCCGTCTATCTAACCAACGCTGAGGGAATCCCGCACAAGACGCAGAGACTCAGCCTTCAACAATACCTCGACCGACGCCAAAATCGACGCAGAGAGAGTTTCCAAAGGTGGCCTTGCGACTCTCCCTCCGTCCGAGGTAGAAGGTCTCCCCGGGCCGGAGCCGGAGGTTGAGGAGCGCGGTCCCGTCCTCGGGCGGGTTGTCGGCCACGACGCTGTCGCGCATCTCGGGCAGCAGGTCGAACGTGACGTAGAAGCGGCCGTGCACGTCCTCCTCGGGCCTCTCAGCGCCCTGCTCGACTAGGACCCAGTCGACGCGACCGCCCTGCAGGCGGAGGACCTCGTTATACGTCTCGAGCTGCCGGACAAAGACAGGGCCGGCAGGCTGGGATGAGGCTGGGGGCGGCGGCGCCTCGAAGGGCGAGACATGCAGGCGCCAGACGTCGCCGGAAAAGGTCAGGTGCTGGCCGCCGGGGGCGTCGGTGATGCGCTTGACCTCCATGATGTCGACGCCGCCGTCGAGCTCGCCGACGTACCGCCGCACCCGGACGCCGTCGCCCAGCCGCACCAGCTCGGGGCCAAGGAAGACGCCGCCGTAGCCGTCGGCGGTGCGGTTGAAGGTGCTGTACGAGACGCTGGCGTCCTTTGCTGCTATCTTGGACGCCTCGAGCCCGGCGACCTGGCGCTTGTGCGGGTCCGAGCCGGCGTACTGCTGAACAAAGGACGCCCAGTCCACCTCGGCAAACGTCATACCCTGCAGCTGCGGCACGTCGATGCTCGGGAGGCTGAAGGCGAGGAACGGCTTCATCTCAGCGGCCGACTTGGTGCAGCTCTCCTGCCTGAGCATCGCGTGGCCCAGCGGTGCGACAACCCATGTGTCTGTTGACGGCGTTCCGGTGCTGCGGTGCGGCGCTGCAATTACCCCGAGCCTCCAAACCCCTGTTTGTGAACCAAACCACACCATCTCCCCCACCCGGTATATAGAATGGTCCGGAACATCCACATGCTCTACTGGGGCCTCGGCGGGGATGGCTACAGCCGCAGGAGTGGGAGGGACAGGTTGTGCGGATGTTGGTACGGGGCTCTCGGTAGGAGCCGCCGTCGCCTTGGCAGCCACCGCAGCAGCTCCTGCCGGGGCTGTCGAAGAAGTACTGGCAGCGGCGGGTGTGGCAGAAGCGGGGGCTGTGCGCGGTGCGGCGGTGGCGGCAGCCTTACGCTTGGCTGCCGCGGTTGCCTTCTTGGTCTCTTTAGCCTTGGGCTTTCCCAGCATCTTTTTGCATGGCTCACACGAGCATCTCGCTCGATCGTGAGGTGCAGGAGCACTCAGCCATAGCAGGTGAGGGACGAATTCTGCCACACTGCGGTACCAAAAATCTCGACCGGTCCCACCGACATGGCCAACGATGAACCTCTCTCCTTTTTCTAGTTTCACCGGTTTGGTCAGCGCATCGAACGGAAATGTGCCTGGGAGGCACTAGCGCCGGCCAATAGCGGGGAAGACGGAGATACTCACTTGGATCAATGATGACATGGAAGCCTTTCGGTAAACGAGCGATATATGACGTTTCTAATATCGCAAAACACAAGGATTAGTGAACTGTACACTTGCAGCCGGCGGCTCAAGTACGCTTGGGGAACTCCAACATACCATCGCTAGGGGTTCCACAGTTGAACTTCAGAGAGGCCCCCAGACCAAGTTCCCATTTCAGTTGGCCGTCAGGGTCCAGGGCAAGTTTGGTGTTGCCGTCTGTGGATTGGAGAGTGGCCATGTCGTAGCCTTTGCCATCGCTGAACTCGAAATGTAGCTGGGCGTACACCTTGGGAGAATTCTGGTTCTGCGCTCCCTTATTTGCGTTCGGTTTTGCGCTCCCCTTTGCCGCTGCAGCACGCGGAACGGCCTGGGCGGCCGACATATCGGCTTGGTGATGGAAGCCGGTCCTTTTTGGACTATAGGACGGCGATATCCTGTACCGGTGCTGTACACACTCAGCCAACTTCAGGGGTAGGGCTGCCGAATATGTGTGGGTCAGGGTGAGCCCAACAGTAGTCTCATCCTATTACGTGGTTAGGTGTTAGCACCGCTATGATGCTTCGAGGGGATAGAAGAAACAGGTTGAGCAGCCCATAATCATAATGGTGGGCTTTAGAGAGTCTGTGAATATGCACGCGAAAGGCGTGCAGGTGGTATACGACAACTACATCGGGAGGCCAAATGGTAGGTGGACGGGCGCCAGCGGGCATCAGACGCTACGTGAGAGAGACCTACCTTCCCAGGCTCCACTTGCATGGGATGATCAAGGCAGAATAAACAAAGGAAGTAACAGAACGAAGGGAAATGCATAGCAGCCTATCATCACATCTCCTTCCAACAACTTACCAAGAAAGCTGGCGCCGGCACCTGAGCAGGACAGGGAGGCGGCGTGGCTGAACCCTGTGGCGCGATTACGAGAGCGACGCTCCACCACACGCGCAAGCTCCGGGGCAGGCTGGATGGACCTTTTTCGTTGCGGCAAACACGCGCAGAACAGATTCCAATTGCCGGCGCTTGCGGTCGGGCGTGGTGGCAGGCAGCTGCTTTGTAGGAAACGCCTCTGCGGAATTAGGTGTTGCAAGATTAGAAGATGACTCGTTTCACCAAGCAGACATGGGCGACAATAGCGGCCAGCTAGGGGACGTTGCACGACGAGTTCGATGTTTGGTTCCGAGGCGAGATTTGGCTGAGGTCGCACGCTGGCCGGACAGCAAGCAACCCGCCTGCATTCAAGCCACAGCTCGGACTTAAGGGAGGGACCAGTGCAATCCCCGCTGCAACAAGCCCCACTGGGCCGCGCCACGCCTCGTGATTGGCTACGCGGTTGTTTGGCAACCCTCTGCTCAGTTCAGCTCGCTGCGGGCTCCAATATCGAACCCCAGACAGATTCCCGTCCGAGCCTCAACCTCAAATGTCTGCCACTCCGCCCGGAGATAATGTCTAGTATATCCGTCTTGACCGGGTGGGCCAGCTGGCGCCTTGCTATGTCTAGACCTATTGACCATCTCTCTTGCGGGGTTCATGCAACAACCGTGAACGGGCCGGGACGGCGTGGCCGATTTGGCCGATGTAAACGCGTGGCGGCTAGGAATATGCCTAGCTATCGCCCATCGCCATACCCCTTTCCTCCGAGATGGCGGTGACGGCACCGAGCCGAAGCATCGGACGGGGTTTGAAAAAAAGTCCCGATGTACCCGTGTTGGGCCCGACCATGATATGTATTTGGTAGCTACCATATACAAGCCGATATCGAGTCGTTCCCTTCTCTCACTGCCCTTGAACACCAGTCCAAGTCCCCCTTTCAAGTTGAGGAGCAGCACAAGTACGCCGTCTGGAATAATGCTGCATTAAAGCCACCGGATTCGAAATATCGCCAGTAGCCAACATGAAGTTCGACTTTGAAACCACCGGCATCGATGTCGTCAAACACTTTGACGCCCAAGTCAGGGGCAAAATATGTAGGTGCAAATCGTCACCACAGCTCTTGTCTCTTGCCATCTGACATCAGCTGTCATCGAATACCTAGTCCTCATAACTGGCCCAACCGTCGGCGGTATAGGTAAGCAAGCCCATCGCCCTTATACAGCACGCTCCGGCAGCCATAGCTGACCGCACATATGACTAGGCGCCGAAACGGCCATCTCGCTGGCCCACGCCGCGCCGGCCCTGATCGTGCTCCTCGGCCGGTCCCGAGAGAAGGCCGAGCCGGTCCTGGAAGCCATCCGCGCCGTGGACGCGGCCGTGCCGACCAAGTTCGTCGAGCTCGACCTCTGCTCGCTCGCCAGCGTGCGCGCCGCCGCCGCCGCGGTCCTAGCCGACCCGGCCGTGCCGCGCATCGACGCCCTCATCAACAACGCCGGCGTCATGGCCTGCCCGTTTGGCCTGTCGGCCGACGGCATCGAGATACAGTTCGCGGCCGGCCATGTCGGCCACTTCTTGCTCACCAACCTGCTGGCGCCCAAGCTGCTGCAGGGCAGCGGCGGCGGCGGCGGCGCGCGCGTCGTCAACGTCTCCAGCTCCGGCCACAAGCTCGGCCACGTGCGGTTCGACGACCCAAACTTCTCCGAAGCCAGGTCCTACACGCGCCTGGCCGGCTACGGCCAGGCCAAGACGGCCAACGTCCTCTTCTCTGTCGCCCTCAACGCCCGCCTGGCCGGGACGCGCGGGGTCCGCTCGTACGCGTCGCACCCGGGCGTCATCATGACCAACCTCACCCGGCACATCCCGCCGGACATGATGGGCGAGATGGTCGCGGCCGCCGGGGTCGACGTGCTCACGATGAAGAACATCCAGCAGGGCTGCTCGACGCAGCTGCGCGCCGCGCTCGACCCGGACCTCCCCGGCCAGGAGGGCGTAATGCTGTACGACTGCTCCCTGACGACGGACCCGCAGCAGATTCTCCCCCGGGCCGTCGACTCTGCGGATGCCGAGAAGCTCTGGATGCTGAGCGAGAAGCTGGTTGAGCAGGAGTTCAAATATTAAGTTGGTGAGGTCTGGAAGGAATCATGCGCTATGTCCTTGATTGATGTAGCTGACTACCTCCTTGTTGTCGAAAGCTAAAATGCTAAAACCTAGGCTATTAAATGAACGTGGTATCCTGTAGGTATGATGGGTGATGTAAAATCAGTCTAAACGAGAACTCAAAGATGATGCTATGCTGATGCCAAAGCCAGATATTACCCCCCCCAATGCTATGCCAAAACCCCTCCGCCAATGTAATTTGATGTCTTAACCCCTTCCAAGATGCAAGTATTTCCCCCCTGCCGTCTTCTCATGAGAAAGTCGTCGCAGTCATGTCATTAAACAGCCCCCCGATCCAGAGAGTGAAAAAAAAAAGGCGCGTGTCATCACCTCGTCGCCACCAAGAGAAAGAGAAACAGCAGTCGTTTACTGGCTCTTGGGGATCTTGCACTTGACCAGGCACTCCTCGACGCCGAGCGCGATGCTCTTGGGAATGGCGGCGCGGACCTTGTCGATGTCGGCGCCCTTGATGGACTGGCCGAAGGTGGCGGCGATGACGTTGTCGGACAGCGCAAAGGTCTCGTTGGCGATCTGGCCGGTGCCAAAGTCCTCCGAGGGGAAGCTGGCGACGAAGACGGAGTCTTCGCAGTCCGGGTTGAACTGGGTGTGGACGCTGCCCTGGTAGAAGGGAGTCATCATGAAGGGGCCCAGCTCGGTGCGGATGACGCGCTGCTTGCCGTTGGCGTCGTTGACCCCGTTCTCGGGCACCATCTCGGTGATGAGGCGGCCCTGGACCACCACCTGGAGCTCGGCGCCGCGCGGGTGCACGTGGAGCGTGTTCATGCCGCAGGCGTTGACGCGCCCCACGGCCATGCCGGCGCCGGTGCCCACGAGGGCCGGGAAGGTCTTGCGGTTGGCCGCCACGAGCTCGCCGCCCTTGCCCGGGTTGGCTTGCTTCTGGTTGAAGTCGAAAATGAACTGCTTGTCGTCGGGCAGGAGCGCGAACCTGTCGGCCGCCGTGTCGGCGAGCCTGAGCCTGGCCGTCAGGCTCAGGCCCGTGTCGGCAGGGGGCGCCGGGGCGGTAGTCGAGGCTGCCGTGGACTTGCCGGTGCTGGAGCTGACAGGGCTGGCGAAGACGGCAGCAGCCTGGGCCAGGATGGTAACAGCGACGGCGGGAGCGAAGTACATTTTGAAAGATTTGCGGGTTGGAAAGAAAGGTAGAGTGAGAGAAAATCGATGAAAGATGTTGTGTGTGTTATTATGATTAGACCAAGCTGATGATGGAAAGTTGAGCGAATGGGTTGATGGCTTGCTTTGCTTGGAGTGCAAATGTGATGATGGTGATGATGATAGAGAGAGATTATGGAAAAGTTGAAGAAGGTCCATGGGAGCTATCTTATACAAAGCATCGAGACGATATCGATGCCCTCGTCCACCACATAAGCCATCGCGTGCTCCTATCCCGGAGGCATGGGAGCCGCACCCAAGCCCGACGCGTGCAGCATCTGTTCGAATCCGGAAAGCTGCGGCGAGTTGGTGTAGGCAGTGAGCTGCCGGACTACGAGCTCTCCGCCATCAGCCTGGCTGTCGTCAGCACTACAACGGCAACGCTGGGCTCCGGAATTCTAACGGCGCTAACTGGCCAACAAGCGCGGAGCGCGGCTGGTGGGCTAAGCGACGCAGAGACGCTGATTGGCACATTAGACACGCTAGGAATGGCGTTGTGGGAGCGTCATGTGGATTTTGAAGTGAGAGCTGGGGCTGTGCCCGGCACTTTGGCTCTGCCGCGCTCAAAATAATCTGGGCGCCCAAGTGCCGTTGGTCGTTCATACGTAGTGGTTGCATGAGGGATGACCACCAAGGGATGACCACCGACCACGTACAGGTGGCTGCCGATGGATCCTAGATTACACGAAGCTGCACGTCTGCGGCGTAAAAAATAGAGAAGCTCACGTCTCCAGTCGGGATGGCGAGAGAAAAAAACATTTCCAAAGAAAGAAACAAAAATCGCAGCCGAGAGATCGAACCCGCCAGACCTCAAGTGAAGGCCACCCAAACCCAGCCACAACTTGCGGCAGACAGCTCCTCGATCACAGAGCACGCATCCATGCCCGACTGGGAATACCTAGAAGGATTGGTCAAGTGGACGTTGGCAGGAATCAACTCCTTCGGCTGCCAGCGCATGCATGCACGCACCCACCGGAGCCAAGATGCCGGCAGCGCTCAGCTCAGCCTGACGCTGACCGGGGATTGCTCAGTCAAGCATGTCACTACATTGGAGCACATGCCGTCGGCGTCGACGTAGCCACATATCACTTGAAGACTTGGCTGCCGCGCAAGCCAAGGGAGGCCAGGCCGTTGGCCATGGCACACATTGCCAACCGCGCTGGTACATTCTGCTCAGCCCTAACACAATGGAGCTGGAGTCCGTCCCTCCCTGCAAGTCTCGGTCGGGCCAAGAAGAGGGTATTCATTCCTGTCATCACTTGCAGGCGACCCTATCGTCAAGGGCCGCCGGTGACAGCGGGATGTCTTCCTTTCCTTGATCGGGTAGCGTATGCCCCGGCCGTGCTCTGATTGAATTCCGACTCCGGGAGCAAGGGATCGCCAACGCCTGGCCCCGATCGCCGTGGGGGACTGACGACTGGACGTCCGGAGTAAATCGTGAGACCAGGGCGCCCAGATCACGCAGGGCGGATGGCCAAAGCTTAGAGCCTGGCTTGGAGTCCTGCCATGTCATGTGCCTGGACCGACCAGCTGGCTGATCTTTTCGTCAACTTTGGAGTGGATGTGGAGGCAAAGCCCCCCTTGGTTGCCCAAAGCGCATCACGCTTGAGATGCGGCGACTGTGCTCTCCGGACACAGACATGGGACCAGCACCGCACAAGGCAGACTGATTCGGGGAAGCAGGGATAGGTCGACCGGGAAGAGAAGGTGCAAATGTTGCGACGCAAATAAGATACTTGAGGTTGCCCGTGCACCCGCGGTTGGGCCGGGGATCCATTGCACAGGGATCCTGGAATCGAGGCCCGTTGCTGGCCCTCGCGACCAGCAAAAAGCTGCTGACGAGCAGCCGAGTCCGCGGCTGATCGATCGATAGGAGCCTCGGCAGCTTGAGCGAGTGCCATCTCAAGACCAGGAGGAGCCTAGACTCAAGCAGCTGCAACAAAAAAACAGCCCTGCGGGACCGACACCGTAGATCGAAGTCCAATGGTCGGCGCCTCGCGAAGAGTAGTTGAGCCATGGGCGTCTGGCAATTTGCAAATCGGGCCAGGATATTATGAGCGACCACAGGTCGGCAGATCGCTGCCTGAGTTAAGACGATTGATCAATGGTGGTCGGATTAGGGAAAGCAGTCGCCGGCACTCTTCTGACCAAACCTTCCCCCGCATCATTGTTTTTTTTCTTCTTCTGTTTCCTTTTTTTTCGTCCCAACGTGGCGGGACAGGGGAGCCCGGATGGACAGGGAGGTGGGGCTTGTTGCAGCCTGGGAAATGAGGTGGTTTCCAAAGAAGCGGTGGGTGGGGGATGGAGACTCTGTGGTTTCGTCGCGTTGCATCGACGCATTTCGCCAACCGCGCTTGCAACTTTGCACTTCGCTGTGCAGGCGACGCGACACGCTGATAAAAAAAAAACATAAAAAAAATAGCTGCACGTCTGACAACACCTCGGGCGCATGTTGGGCTGCTTTTAGAACACTCTCGGGGCCGAATTGTGATGAGATGCTGGGCTGCCCAAGCCTGCAGGCTTCCATAATGCTCGCCCACATGGCGCAATCGTGGTGCGGGTTTTGTTGGGTTCTCGGGCTCTTTTCCCTCTATTCATTGTGTGAGTCCAGACAGACCATCGAGGATCCCCACCGAGGACTGACCGAGTGGATAATGCTGGACACAGCAGGTGGCTGCGAAACAATCTGGCGCAACAGCTTTCTAATTAAATGGGACGGGATTGCCACCATTTGGGCAAATCTCTCTTTGGCGGGTTCGACAAAGTCTGTGTGGACAACGGGCGGCGGGCTTGTCGTTAGCGTGGGTTCGGTAGAAATGGCGCTGCAGAAGTCTGGAGGGGAAGGAAGGGTGTCGGCGGTGTTGGTGGTGTCCTCCAGTCTTTCATCCGGCTGGTTCCTGCATTTGCCCTGCGGCCCCACACTCACTGCCTCCCCCCATTGGCCTCTGCCCTCGCTGCCCCTGGCGATGCTCATCTGGCGCTCATGTTGTGCCGAGATGAGTGGCAGCCCTGATTGGCTGCTGGCTCGGCGTGCCGTCGCCCACTTGTCCAACCCGCCCGCGCCCTGATTGTGGTCTCGCCTCTGTCATGAAGGCCCGTCACAGGGTGGCCATCGTCTGGAGACCCCCCCTTCGGCCGTCGACGATGGGGCTGATGGGTGCATGGGTGAAAGCCCAAATTTCCCACGCGCAGAGGGCCTGGGCCTTCTGGGCCACATGGGGGCTTCTTGGCCAAGCGGATCAAGCAGCAGCGAGATGGGCCCTGCCAGGAACACCACAACCAGGGCACAACCCCTCTCCCCCGACGGCCCACCGTTGGACGGCCGATGCCATGGCGCCCGTCCAGGGGGGTGTCTGCGAGCGCGACGCTCCCCTGCCGTCCCGTCGCAGTCGCAAGCCAGGAGCTATACCTAGCATGCCCGCCGCCCGTGCCCCGACCATCTGCTGGCCTCCTCCTCTTCCTTCCCTCCCCTCTGCATAGTCAGTCACTCGTTTGTGTGCGTTCCCTTCTTGCGCGAATATCTTGCCTTTCGACGCTCGACGTCGCCTGCTCTCACTGCTTGTTTCCACGGCATATTTGCCCCTGACGCTCCTTAGCCCACCTGCGCTCCGGCCGCTTGCTGCTGTTTTTTCGACCTGCATCCTGCAGTCTTGCCTTGGCGCCTGAGCCCGAGCCCTCTTGGTGCGCAGGCTTAGTGTTGTGAGACACCCCGAATCGAGCGTCGCTCCTCGAACCGCTCCCCGAGCTGGAACGCAAGCGACCCTTGTCTCGCGAACAGCCGTTGACCTGAGACCCCTTGCAGGGCATCGACCACGACCAAGGAGAGATCCGCGAACCAGAGTGTCGTTGCGCGCGCACGACTGGAGGCGCGGAACCCTATCACGCTCACTCAGTTTATGCCGAATATACCGGCCTCACGAAATTCACGATGAAGACGACGACATTAAGCGCGGCCACGGCCGCCATCTTTTTTGGTGCGCAGCAGTTCGTTGGCGCAACACATGCCCACCGGATGGCACACCAGCACTACGAGAGGAGACATCACGCCCATGGCCACGTCGCGCGCACTGATGCCATCTCTGCGCCTATGTCGGTCCCGGAGCTCGGCGTCACCACGGCGCCGGCCGAGGAGGCCAGCCTGGACAAGAGGAGCGGCGACTGCTCGCTGCCCGATGACTCGGACCTGGTCGCCGTGACCAGCAACATGATGAATAAGGGCTTCGCCATGTCTCCAGACCAGGCCTGCAAGTCGGGCATGTACTGCCCCATCGCCTGCAAGCCCGGTAAGGTCATGGCCCAATGGAAGCCCAACACGTCCTACAAGGTCTCCGAGTCGATGAGCGGTGGCCTGTATTGTGACAACGGGAAGGCCGTCAAGCCGTTCCCTGAAAAGCCCTACTGCATCGATGGCACGGGCAGTGTCACGGCCGTCAACAAGTGCGGCAAGGTCGTCTCGTTCTGCCAGACAGTCCTGCCTGGTAACGAGGCCATGCTCATCCCCACCGAGGTGAGCGGCTCCTCGGTCCTTGCCGTCCCTGACCCCAGCTACTGGGCCAGCACCGCTGCCCACTTCTACATCAACCCTCCCGGAACTTCTGCTGCCCAGGGCTGCATCTGGGGTTCCGACGCCAACCCCGTCGGAAACTGGGCTCCCTACGTGGCCGGCGCCAACACGGTTGCCGACGGTTCCAGCTATGTCCAGATCAGCTGGAACCCCATTTACCAGGACTCCAAGTTCGCCGGCACCAAGCCTAGCTTCGGCGTCAAGATTGAGTGCAACGGCGGCGGCTGCAACGGCCTCCCCTGCGAGATCGACCCCTCCAAGTCGGGCCTCAAGGGTGTTACCAGCAACAACAGGGCAACGGGTGCTGGCGGTGCCGACTTTTGCGTCGTCACCATCCCCAAGGGCTCGAGCGCCAACATCGTCGTCTTTAACACGGACGGCTCGACCGGCGAGCCCGAGAAGACGACCACATCGCCTCCTCCCGCGCCCAAGCCGACTACCACCTCGACCAGCACGACGCCGCCGCCAACCACCAGCTCTTCGAGCTCTTCAACAGCCTCGGCGACAACGTCTTCCTCGTCCTCGGAGGAGCCGACGAGCTCATCGAGCTCCCAGTCGGTGCCTACCGTCCACCCTGGTATTTTCCAGGAGAACGGGACGACGGCAAGCACCACCATGATGCGCCCGACCACCACCCCGGGCAGCATCTTCACTGCCTCCACTACCAAGTCGGCCCCACAGCCGACCGAGTCCAAGAACGATGGAGTCAGTCGGGACAAGGGCGGAGCCGCCGTCGCCGGGCTCATTGTCGCCATTGTCGCTGCGGCCTGGATGTACTAGTTACGCTGCGCCACATCTTTCTACTACCCTGCTGGGCTTCTTTGACTTCCTCTTCGCTTCTACAACTATGCCCAGCAAGCATGCGCCGGTTATGCTGCTTCGGCTCTACTTTTGCTCCTCGACTTTGAGCCCTCTTTCGACTTCACTAAACTTAAACCCTTTTTTTTTTTTTTTGAGAATACCCCTTTGGTCTGGATCGACAGCCAAGTTTTTTGCTCGGTTGCTGGTCAAGCCGCCCTCCTCCCACCTCGCTCGAGCAATACCTTGTCTGTCGTTCACCCATTTCTTCTGATGAGATAACGTCGACTACCAGTTCTTTTTTGGATTCATTGTTGACAATGCTCTGCTGGACACCAGCAAGAAACGAACATACTTTACCACTTCACTTTTGCCACATTCTGTACCTTTCTGTGCTCAACCCTTGTCACATTTGTCAAGTCTTGATGCGCTCCTATATTCATGCCTCCGCGTTCATGGGATTTGTTCCTTGCTTTCACAAACCCCACAGGCCATTTCAACCCCTTCTCCTTGGTGGTGGTGTTTATATACCTGCCTCCTTTTCCGGTACCAGTTCATGTCATCTACTTACTATCTTCCTCCCTTTGCCATATATGGCCCACCCAAGTGGTAGTGTTTATTGTTTCTATCTCGTGAGGCGAGTCACCTAGCATCTTCTTCGCCGAGTGATCCTCATTCGCAGACCCCTTCTCTTCGATACCTATGTATCTCCCTTCCTGCCCCTCTCTTCCATCCTCGATTCAGGAAACCGCAACCTTCTATACCCCACACCGACTTTGGTGTTTTGATCTGGAGTGGCATTCTGGTCCTCCGATTTTTTTTTTCTTTGATGGTCGCCACAGCTACCACAACATTTCTTCCTGCTTCATTCCTCGCTTTCGAGGCCCTTTTGCTTCATTTGGTCACCCCGTCGCGGACACCGACCCCGCAATCTCGGCGCAACATGAACGGTTTCGGATGATGAATATACCAGCCCCTTTTTGTGTTGGTTTTTGGAAAAACAGGAAAAACATGAGGGGGACATCGGGAGTTGTAGATAGGAAGCTCGGAAATCTTATTTTGCACAAATGAAAACATTTTAGGTAGCTTCAAAGCACAGGAGTTGTGTCTCTTTTGCATCATACAACGTGCTAGACTAGACGCCAATGCTCCTTCGACTATGTATGGACGGCTTGACGCCGCGTGGGTAAACAAAAACACTTCTTCATCAAGTCCTCGTGTGGGGGTATCAAACTACCATAGATCTGTCACCTCCTTGCTCGCCTTCCGTGTTTATCTTCATCCCGGCACCTCGGGAACCCCTCCCCCTTCACTTGACCCAGCCGGGAACCCATTCGGTGTCGACGCCCGACTCTTCGATCCTGGCCGCGATGATGTCGGCCACGTTTGCGGGCCAGCCGGCGAGGGCGGGCCCGGCGTCGCCCGCGGCGCGGGCGCCCTGGATGGCGAGCTTGCGGGCCGAGTGCGAGACGTAGCCGTTGACGAGCCCCTGGGCCACCAGGCCCATGACGGCCTCCTCGACGTGCTCGTAGGCGGCGGGCAGGTTGCCCCACAGCAGGCCCTCGTGCGCGCGCAGCCGCCACCGCCGCCCGCCGGCCCCGGCGCCCGGCCCCGGCACGAGCGTCGTGCCCGGGGGAGGCTGGGGCGTGTTGTTGGCCAGGGCGCGCATGAGGAGCGGGTTGGCGCCGCCGCCGCCAAAGTGGCTGCTGCCACTACCCCTGTGCGGGGCGGCTGGGACGTAGCCCTCGAGGAGGCGCTGTTGGTAGGTTGCCGCTACGTGGACGGCGCTGCGTGGGGGGTTTGGTTGGCATTTGTCAGTCTGGTCGGCCGTGGATCATAGATGAAAGGGGGGAGGGGGGCAATGTGTGTGAGACAAGGACAAGACAATACTTTATATCCAAAGTGACGGCCTTGCGGCTCGAACCGCCCGTGTCCGCGTCGGGCACGTAGGTGAGCACGAAGACGCGGCGGGTGAGCGAGCGCCAGAGCAGCGGGCGGGCGCGGTACATGAGCGGGAACAGCAGGCCGCGCTCTAGCAGCCAGTCCTGGCGTGCCGCGATGGCGTGCTGGAAGGCGACAAAGTTCCCCTTGCGGATGGCGGCGACCAAGGGGCGGAAGACGGGGGCGAGCTGTCGGGCCTCGGGCCGGGCGAGCAGCTCGGCCGAGGGCAGGCGGCCCGAGAGGATGTTGGCGGGGATCAGGTGGGTGAGCACGAGGCGGCGCTGCTTGGTCAGCGACGGCGGCAGCTGGCGGTAGGCCGACGACAGGGCGGAGACGGCGCGCGGGTAGTGGTCGTTCTGGAACATGACGACGCCGAGATAGTACAGCCAGGTCACGCGCTGGGCGGCCGGGAAGAGCGAGAGGGCCGGGGCGCGCTCGGCGCCCGTGATGAGGGTCCAGGCCGTCAGCGGCTTTCCCGTCTGTGTGCGTGGGTGTGTGTGGCCGGGTTAGTTCATATGTTTAGGGTGTGAGAGGGGTTGTGTGAGGAGGGAAACTCACAACCAATAGCAACCGAAAGGCCATGGCGCCGACCAGATACACGACCGACTTCTTGTTGCCGGGCTGCAGGGGCGCGCGGTCCAGGGCGCAGTTGTTGAAGATGCCGTTGATGAGGTCGAAGACGTCGTCGACAAATGTCCTCACCTCCTCCTCGTCGCCCGCGCTCTTGCCGCCCGCGGCCGTGGTCAGGTCCGGGCGCGACTTGAGCACGGCGACCAGCTTGACCATGGACTGCGCGTACGACACGCTCGTCTGCACCATGAGGCTGCCCTGGCCCGGGTGCTTGAGCGCGGACACGCATGCTCTGAATGGTGGACGTCAGTATCACGTGGGTGCCAGGACTAGGACCAGAGGCGTCCGGGTGAGGGCCACGTACGTGGACAAGGCGAGCAGCCGCTCGTGGACGTCCATGAGGTCCCCAAAGTTGACGTCGCGCCAGTAGACCAGGAACTCGTGGACGAAGGCGTGGAAGCCGCCCCAGGGGGTGTTGCCGCTCTCTGGCGGCTCATCGTCCTCGGGCAGGCTCTTCTCTATTAGGGTCCGCAGTGCGGACCCGGCCTTGGGGTACCTCCTTCGCAGCTCCTGGCCCAGGGCGAAGTAGACAGGTGGCGAGTCCGGCTCGGCCAGGAGCCACTGGCTCAGGGTCTCGCCGTCGCCCGCGACGACGTGTTCCCTGACGCCCTTGAGGAAGGCCGGGAGGATGTCCATGTTTCTGCGGCTGTGCTGTGCTGGGGCAGAAAGTGCTCCAGAGAGGTCGCGACTTGGGCGCGCGCGACTCGGTGAGGCTGTAAAATCCAATTGGCTGATGCTCTGCAAACGCGTTATTCAGGATGATGGCCTTGGCTCGGCTAGCTGGAGAAGCCGGGCTAGACAGAAGATGCGAGAAGATACGAGACCAGAAAGCAGGCCGCGCCGACACGAGGGGCTTTCCAGCTCTTTTTGAACAAAATATCTACTATATAAAAGTGCCTCCATCCCAGCTCTATTCAGGTGTTCAAGTCGTATTGTGGTTGCTATTGTGGTGGCACTCTGCCATTGTCAGTGCACGATCCATGTGGGTCGTGGCCCGCCGTCGTCCACTACCAGCCCATACGGATAGACCCTACCTGAAAATAGCAGCAATTGGATTCATGCTTCCACTTCCACCCTCTGATATATCAGTATCCTACAGGGACTTTTGAGCGCCCGAGAATCTACCCAGCAACACAGACATGTGCACGTAAACGCGATACACTATTGCGGTAGAATAAACACCTCTGGTCGATTCGAGAACCCGCCTGTTTCAGGCAACGGCTACCAGCTTATACCGACTCGATCCTCTGCACCACCATGGCCGTCGCCGCGCCCCCTCCGTTGCAAATGGCTGCCACGCCGTACTCGCCGGGCTTGAGCTGGTGCAGGAGCGTCACGAGAATGCGCGACCCAGAGCTGCCGAGAGCGTGACCGAGGGAGATGGCACCTCCCAGGGGGTTCACGCGCGCATTCTCCAGACCAAGGATCTATCCATCGGGGAAGAATCAGCGTTAGCGAAACGAGCAATTTTTCAAAGCACGACAAGGCAGGAAATAGCTCCTCTCGTACCTTCTCGTTCGCCTTGATCACGGCGGCAAAAGCCTCGTTGAACTCCCACACGGCCACCTGGTCCTTGGTGATGCCCGCGCGCTTCAGGGCGATCGGCACCGCCTCGGACGGGGCCACAGGGAAGTCGACCGGGTCGATGGCGGCGTCGGCCGAGCCGCAGATTCTTGCCAACACTCGGGAGCCGGACCCGAACTCCTGCGCGATGGCCTTGCTGCCGAGCACCAGAGCGCTGGCTCCGTCATTGAGCGTCGACGAGTTGGCGGCCGTGACGGTCCCCGTGCCGTCCCGGACAAAGGCGGGCTTCAGGGTCGGCACCTTGTCGAGCTTGACGTCTAGATAACCCTCGTCTGTGTCAACGACCTTGTCGCCTTTCCTCGACGACACCGTGACGGGCACAATCTCGTCGGCAAAGGCGTTGGATTTCCAGGCGGCCTGCGCCCGCTCGTAGGACCGGATCGCATACTCGTCCTGCATCTCCCGCGTGATGCCGTACTTCTTGGCCGTCTTCTCGGCGCAGTTGCCCATGTGAAATTGGTCATAGACGTCGGTCAGCCCGTCCTTGATCAGGCCGTCCTCAAGCTGCACGTTGCCAAAGGCAGGCAGGCCACTGCTTCGGGGCAGGTAGTAAGGCACCCGCGACATGTTCTCCATGCCGCCGGCGATCTGGGCGTCGGCCAAGCCGAGCTGGATGTTTTGCGCCGCCAGGACGACCGACTTCAGCCCCGAGGCGCACACCTTGTTGATCGTCGTCGCCTCGACAGAGGAGGGGAGGCCAGCGAAGATGGCGGCCTGCCGCGCGGGCGCCTGGCCGACAGAACCCTGTAGCACGTTGCCCATATACACATCACTGATCTTGGAGACGGGCACTTTGGACTTTTCGAGCGCGGACTTGATGGCGGCGGCGGCGAGTTTCGGTGCGGGGATGGTGGCGAAGGATCCATTGAACTGCGACTGTCAGTACAGGGATATTTCAAGCAGGCAGGGCCCTAGCGCAGTACCTTGGCTGTCGGTGTCCTAGAGGCGCTGAGGATGTATGCGTCGCGGATTTCTTGTTGCAGGGCGGCTCGCGCACTGAAGAGGCGACTGGGGGAGCCCCAGCGGGCCGTAGCTGAGATGGCCGAGCCGGCTGTGGAAACCGGCCGAGAGCACTGGCGGATCATGTTGGGCGTGAATATGGGAATAGGGATAGAACGAGACGAATGGCTGAGCAGTAACACCTTTTTTTTTTGGACAATTTCTCGAAAGAATGTGAGAAGCGATCCGGTTTATTTGCTGTAAGCTCGCGGAGCTGAGGGGAGTCTCCTCTTTGGCTTGTGACCTCGGGTCGGCTTCCACTAGGCCGCCACTTTGACTCGGCCCGCCACTAGCCGAACGTCCAAGACCCCTCCAGCTGCTGCCCCGGATCCCACCTGGCTGCAGGGGCTGGGCAAGAGCTTGGCCCTCGGAATGCGACAAACGTAATGTCTAGGCTAAACCGGGAGGAAATGTGTGAGAAAGAGAAACAAGCGAACAACTAAAATACAACATGTGGAATAGTTCGCGGCCAGTTTGAAAACAGGTGCAAGTCAGCGCTCCAGGAGCAATGGGCATTGGGAGCTCGGGCCTGGGTTGGCCGAGGGCCATACATGGCAGCTCGCTCTAGGCCTCGGGGGACTACTGCCCCTGAGACGGAGGTATTTTTTAGTGCTTCCAGAGCGCGATCGAGTCCGACTAAACTTCATGTTGACATCTGTGATAGGAGAGTTCCTGCTCGGGTATTAGGAAAGTTCTAGGCGGGTCACTCAATGCTCAATGCTCAATGGCGGCAATATTGGCTGCCCTGCAACGGAAGGCCGCTTGTGGAATGGCATTCGTATCGGCGACGGCGGCGGCGGCAGCGAAGATTTAGGAGGATGTGGGAGTAAAGTCTGGGAGGGTTCAAAGGAGCTTTGCTCGTCGGGTTGAATAGCTTCATTTCCGACTGAAAGGCCTGGGTGGCGGCCTGCTTGGCGACAGAGAGCATCCGGATTGGGAAGGGCTGCTGGACAAATAACAAAAACTGACCAATGATCGTCGCCTTGAATGCGATATCACGTGGAGCCTGACACCGCCCAACTCCCGCTTAGCTCCGATCGCCGCTTTACCAATCCAGACCTTCCGCCCCGTTTGTCCATGAGCACACGCTCAACCAAGGTTCCCCTCATATAAAGTGCTGTTTCCGCCACCAAGCCAGTAACCTACGCTACCTCCATCGCTGTGCACATTCTCCCGTCACACCCGACGACAACTTAACCCCGCGACCACCCCGCAAAGCCAGAAAGCAAGAACGAAACGAAGCCATCAACCGGACCAAAATGTCTACCGCCGCCCGCCGCCGCCTAATGCGTGACTTCAAGGTGACCACGGAACCCATCTCCCTGCGCCATCAGGGAGTCCCCAAGAACGCCCGCGGTGCGGTTTCCTAGATGCCATGATGATGATCCTAACACTAGTCTCTATCCCCAGCGCATGCAAACGGACCCTCCCGCCGGCGTCTCCGCGTCCCCTGTTCCCGACAACGTGATGACATGGTATGCAGAACCATCGGACCTCGGCGCGATAAGACACACGGCGCTGACTGCGAGGACACGCTTGTCAGGAACGCTGTTATCATCGGCCCTGCGGATACCCCCTTCGAAGACGGGACCTTCCGCCTGGTGATGCACTTCGAGGAGCAGTACCCCAACAAACCACCGTCGGTCAAATTTATCAGCCAGATGTTCCACCCCAACGTCTATGCCACGGGCGAGCTCTGCCTCGACATATTGCAGAACCGATGGAGCCCAACATACGACGTCGCCGCCGTCTTGACGAGCATCCAAAGGTGGACTCTCCTATTGGACGACCCATTTCATCTCACATATGACTGACGCTTGCCCCGTTTTGCTACACCTCTGCAGTTTGCTCAACGATCCGAACACCGGTTCTCCTGCCAACGTCGAAGCCTCGAATCTGTACAAGGACAACCGCAAGGAATACTACAAGAGGGTTCGGGAGACTGTAGAAAAGAGCTGGGAGGGCGATGAGTAAGGGCTCAGGCGTCAAGTGAATCACCTTTGCCCAGACTCGCACTCAGCCTACGGACCCGGAGTTCGCTCCTAGTCACTTGGCCGAGACTCCCACACGCACGTTATACCTTCACTCGGATGCCTACCTGCTACTTGATAGCACTGGGCGGTTGTCGAGTGCCGGCGCAAGCTGGTTGGCAGATGCCTGCATTTCTGGCTGGGTTAAGCCGTTATCCCCCGCGCTCCGCCGAGGCTTCTTGCCCTGCTTTCCTTTTTTCAGACATCTCCAGGTCTGGCGTTTTGGGCGTTTCGGCTGGTGTATTTCCTTGTCACGATTCCATACCCGACTAAGAAAGCGTTTTTTTTTTCTGTTCTTGACACTCTCTTGTGATACGTTCTCTGGCTTGACGCCACCTGCGCTAGCCATACTTAATGTGGCTGGGCGTGCTGTGGCGGGACGTGCACATTGGACAGCTCATGCCATGGATAACTGCCGACTTATTGTGTACAGGAACTGGAGTCATAGTATACCTCCATTTTCCCTAACGATTGGGCTATAGTAGTGTCCTTGGCTGAAGTCTTGCTTCGCGTTTTCGTTTTCTCTAACTTACTGGCCCCTCTAAGCTAGGGTCTCGGTACGCGCGCTTGGATGGGCATGTGAAAGAGTAGTGCCTTATCACTATACCTACAGGTAGTAAGTGGTGTTCGTATACCGAGAATTCCTTGGGAACAAGACAATACTGGATAAATATTGGTCCCCCAAAACAAGATGTTGAATTAGCTCATTCCACGTTGACGGACAGCCCGTGGTGGGCACGTGCTGTCTGAGCCAAATCCCAAGGCCATCCAAGGTTCGACTTCATCTTGCGCACGTCTTAGGGGTCAGTGGGGCTGTCGTGCGGTGCAGGCGCACGTTCGAGGGGCATGAATCAATGGGCTGAGGCGGCTCAATGCCTGACACCAGCGGCCTCGGTCGGGCCCCGCCTGGCAATTTAGCTGTGTGACAGACTGCCTCGGGGTGATGGCCCATGAAACTCGCCTGGCCCAGCAAGGCGTGCACACATGGAAAACACTCGCAACACGCGAACATTCCTGGCGCGTCATCAGCAAGCAGAGAGGCGTGCCCCCCTCAAAAACCCAAACATCCCACCTCGGGCCACCAGAGACAGCAACTGAGCACTGCGTCAGCCGACTGCTGTCCCGGACGCGCACCGCGATTCCGGCAGGCCAGTCCAGTCCAGTCCCGCCCCTGGGGCGCGCCGCCCTTGTTTTTTGGTTGCCCAACTTTTTTGCCAATTTGACCTGATTTGCCCGAGTCGGTCGCAAACCCGACGACGGTAGCCCACTCCAACCGCCCGCCCGCCCGCCCGCCCGCCCACCGCCCTTCGCCCAGCCCGCGAACCCGAATCGCTTCCCACCAGTCCCCTCGCTCGCTCGCTGCCGCCACCACCCAGCAACATCGCCCGCTGCCGCCAGCCCGGCTGCCCCCGTGCATTCTTGATGATAACCCGGCTCTAGCATACGCCTCCAGCATCCAGAAGGCGGCGCCATGTCTTCGGCGAACAGCATCAAGGTCGTCGCCCGGTTCCGGCCCCAGAACCGGATCGAGAACGAGTCGGGCGGACAGGCCATTGTCAGGTTCAGCGGCGATGACACCTGTACCATCGACGTGCGTCCATCCCGCGCATCCTGCCCCGCTCCCCCCGTTGCTTGCTTTGCCGTGCTGCGGTCTCCCGTCGCCGCCGCTGTCGGCACCCGGTCGTGGACAGCTCGAGGGAGGGAGGGGCTAAGCCGAGAGAAGCAGCCGCTGACGTGAAATCGCCGTTATGTATAGTCCAGGGAGGTCCAGGGCACCTTCACCTTCGACCGCGTCTTTGATATGAACTGCAAGCAGTCCGACATCTTCGACTTCTCTATCAAACCGACGGTGGACGACATCCTCAACGGCTACAATGGAACCGTCTTCGCCTACGGCCAGACCGGTGCTGGCAAGTCCTATACCATGATGGGCAGCAGCATAGACGACGACAACCGTGGTGTCATCCCGCGCATCGTCGAGCAGATCTTCGCTAGCATCATGTCCAGCCCCGGCACTATCGAGTACACCGTGCGCGTCAGCTACATGGAGATTTACATGGAGCGCATTCGCGACCTGCTAGCCCCGCAAAACGACAACCTCCCCATCCACGAGGAGAAGAACCGCGGCGTCTACGTCAAGGGGCTCCTGGAGATCTACGTGTCCAGTGTTCAGGAGGTGTTCGAGGTCATGAGGCGGGGAGGAAACGCGAGGACAGTGGCGGCCACTAACATGAACCAGGAGTCTTCGCGATCGCACTCCATATTTGTTGTCACCATCACGCAGAAGAACGTCGAGACGGGCTCCGCCAAGAGTGGCCAACTCTTCCTGGTCGATCTGGCTGGTAGCGAGAAGGTCGGCAAGACCGGCGCCAGCGGACAGACCTTGGAGGAGGCCAAGAAGATCAACAAGTCTCTGAGCGCCCTCGGCATGGTCATCAACAACTTGACGGACGGAAAATCCTCATACATCCCGTATCGGGACTCGAAGCTTACCCGCATCCTGCAAGAGTCGCTTGGTGGAAACAGTCGGACCACTCTCATCATCAACTGTTCCCCCAGCTCGTACAACGATGCCGAGACGCTGAGCACATTGCGCTTCGGTATGCGCGCCAAGTCGATCAAGAACAAAGCGAAGGTCAATGCGGAGCTCAGCCCTGCCGAGCTCAAGATGCAGCTCGGGAAGGCCAAGACCACCATCACGTCATTCGAGAACTACTGCACTAGTCTCGAAGGGGAGGTCACCATCTGGCGCTCTGGAGAGGCTGTCCCGAGGGAAAAATGGGTCCCGCCACGGGGATCAGATGGCGCCCCGTCTGCCAAGGGGGCTCTACCGCCCCGGCCTTCGACGCCTTCCAGGCTACTGCCCGAAACAAGGGCGGAAACCCCGGGCCCCGAACGCTCGGCAACACCCTCGATCCCGCTCGAAAAGGATGAGCGTGAGGAATTCTTGCGGCGGGAGAATGAGCTGCAAGATCAGCTGGCGGAGAAGGAGTCGGCCGCGGCGACAGCCGAGCGGCAGTGGCGGGAAGCCAAGGAGGAACTCACCATCATCAAGGAGCACGATGGCAAGCTGGGGAAAGACAACGAGAGGCTTCTGAGCGAGGCCAACGAGCTCAAGATGCAGTTCGAGCGTCTCACCTTTGAGGGCAAGGAGGCTCAGATCACGATGGATGCGCTAAAGGAGGCCAACTCTGAGCTCACGACAGAGCTCGACGAGCTCAAGCAGCAGCTACTAGACGTCAAGATGAGCGCGAAGGAGACCACGGCAGTGCTTGATGAGAAGGAGAAGAAGAAGGCGGAGAAGATGGCCAAGATGATGGCCGGCTTCGACCTAGGCGCCGACGTGTTTAGCGAAAACGAAAAGTCCATTGCCGACGCCATCAAACAACTCGAGACCCTCTTGGAGCTGAGCAATTCAGGCGACCCTATCCCTCCGGATGAGCTTAAGCAGCTGCAGTCTAGGCTGGTGGCGACCCAAGGAATCGTTCGACAGGCCGAGCTCTCGTTGTACAGCAGCGCCTCGAGCGGATCAGAGGCGCGGCGCAGGGTCGAGCTCGAGGCTCGGCTCGAGGCGCTTCAGCAGGAGTACGAAGACCTCCTCTCGCGCAACCTCGGCGAGGCCGACGTGGAGGAGCTGCGCGGACGTCTGGCAAAGGCGTTCGAGGACAGGCAGGGCGCACAGGCGGAGCTTGTCGAGGAGCTCAAGGCCGAGATCGCACAAAAGGCGGCCGAGGCGGAGCGGATGAAGGTCTTGATCGAGGACCTCCAGCGCCAGACCAAGGTTGCCGCCGCCGCCGCCGCCGCCAACGGGACTGCGGGCGCGGGCGCGAGCGCGCCCGCCGTCAACGGAAAGTCGGTGGCGCAGCAGATGGCCGAGTTTGACGTGATGAAGAAGAGCCTGATGCGCGACCTGCAGAACCGCTGCGAGCGCGTGGTGGAGCTCGAGATCTCGCTCGACGAGACGCGCGAGCAGTACAACAACGTGCTGCGGTCCAGCAACAACCGGGCGCAGCAGAAGAAGATGGCGTTTCTGGAGCGCAACCTCGAGCAGCTCACGCACGTGCAGCGCCAGCTGGTCGAGCAAAACTCGAGCCTCAAGAAGGAGGTGGCCATTGCGGAGCGCAAGCTCATCGCCCGTAACGAGCGCATCCAGAGTCTGGAGAGCCTGCTCCAGGACGGCCAGGAGAAGATGGCACAAGCGAACCACAAGTACGATATATGCTACCTTACCCTACCTATCCCATAGTCTTCCCGTCCGCCCCACGCATGTATGCTAACCGCTTGCCCCCTATCCTCTCAGGTTCGAGCTCCAGCTGGCCGCGGTCAAGGAGCGGCTCGAGGCGGCAAAGGCCGGCAGCACCCGCGGGCTCGGCTCTCCAACCGGTCTTGGGGGCTTCAGCTTTGCGAACGCCGGCAGCCGCATCGCCAAGCCTCTGCGCGGCGGCGGCGGCGCCGACACGGCGACCAACCCGATTGTCAGCAACCTTCAGACTTCCAGCGAAAACAAGAGGTCAAGCGTACGTAACAAACGTACCCCTGCCAGACCTATGTCACGTCTCAGGGGCAAAAAAAAAGAAGACGAAAAAACATGCTAACCAAGTGTCGTTTTCTTAATATAGTGGTTTTTCAACAAGTCATAGATGCAAGCCCAGCCCTAGACGGCAAGCTGTTCCGGCGGTGTCCGCATGGCCCGGCCCCGCCATGCCCAAGACGATGACGAAGATTATGTGCCTCTTATCGTTTGGATGAATTTATGGAGGCCATCTTGAGAAGCAAGAAGACCTGTTTGTTTACGAGCCCTTAGAGTTTGAAAGAGTCCATGTCAGCAATCTTTCTTTTTTCCCCTCCCCCCTAGACGCCGCAGCAAAGGAGGAATGGATATGCGATTGCCAAGGTTTTTGTTTTCCTTTGTGTGTCCTCTGTCCCCCTTTTTCTTCTTCTCATATCCCCCTCCCCTCTTCCTTCCTGCTTTTCTTCGTGTATGGCCTCCCGATGACAAAGATGCCTCGGTCCGGTTTTGCCTCTTTGCGCAAAACGGTACGTAGGGCCGACCGACGGTGCGTGCGTCAAGGCGCTCCAGGACTACGGGGTTTGGGTTTCCTTGTGTCTGGCATTCAGGCAGCACCTAACTGCGCTGATCAGCATACCATCTCCAAATGTCATAGGAAATAGGCGTATAAGGGAATAGAGGCAAGTGCCTGTCACACGGTCATGAGTATCGTCCTTTTTTTTTTTTTTGTATGTGCAAGTGTTTTGTCTTGGTTGTGGGTGGCGCAATTGTGGGATATTTGCGTGCTGGGAAAGGCAAGAAAGCAGACGATGTAGCTGCCTTCAAGGCACAATGCAGAGGCAGCTGGGCGGCCTCGACTCGACCAACCGACATCAAGCTCCAGCCGTATATAAAGAACCAAAGGATAATGGTGCCGGGCTTGAGTGAGGTATCTTGAACTCCAGGCTATCATACAGCTGCTGAGGAAAGGATATAAAATAAACATTAAAGAAAATCGTGAGTCGCAGGGACGTGTTACATGAGAGACCATTCCGTGGTCAAGACATTATCTTCCTCCGAAGTACTCTGGGGGCATCAGGTATCTTCCTCTCTGGCGAACTTGGGAATTTTCCGGGCTCGCGGCCCCAATCCCCCCTTCCGAAACCAGACTAAAAATTCTGCGGAGGGGGCTGCGGCATCGGTGCCGTGCCATTCGCGTAACTCCGTCCGTACTCGCCGTTGCCCCCAGCAGTGCGCATGGGGAACGAATCGGGCCTTCCGTTCTCCTCGTCGAACGGCCTGCGTTGAGACATGGAGGACGACGATTGGTGGGTGGTCCCGGGCATGCCCTTGGTCCTGAAGGCGTCCGAGGCGCCACGCTGTCGGTGGGCGCCGATGCCCCTGCGGCCCGTGTAGACGGCCGGGTAAAGGTCGATCAGGAAGGAAAAGATGTAAAAGGTGAAGATGAAGGCAATGACCCACTCGAGGATGGCGCCCGAGTTCTGGTTTCTGGTTCTGAGTGCAAGTCCGAAGCCGATGCTAAGCAAAACCTCGGTGATGACAAAGGCGAGCTTGATCCAGAAGGAGATGCGCAGGATGCGGTGCTCCCTTTTCTGGGCAAGACGCTGGTATTCCCAGCAAATGAACACGGCGCTCAGGGCGTAGCCGCCCATGAAGAGCGCCAGGAAAATGCGGTGCAGCATCGTCCAGTTCAGGGTGTCGAATATGCTCAAGAGGATGAGGCCAGCGGTGCCGGCGAGTGCGAAGAAAACGGTGAGGGCCGAGAGGACCTTTTCGGTGACGCTGGTGTTGGGCACGAGGCGGCCCTTGTGGCGCAGCCAACGGTCGGCCAGAAAGCCGGCGTTGAGAAAAACCGTGGTGACGACGCATCCCGTGATGAAGAGCGGCTTGAGCTCACTGGCACCGACATCACTGATATAAGCGATATGCTGACCATCGCTCATGCTGCTATAGAACATTCGGTTGGTGCCAACGATCCAGTGAAGTAGCAAGCCGAGCAGCGTACCCAGCCATACCGTCCCCGAGATTATGGGGAGCACCTAAGTGGCGTGGGCGATGAGTATGACTGACTATGCGCGGGCTGGGCCTCGCGGCTGGGAGAAGGCTTGGGGTCGGCAACTAACCCAGTATGATAATCGGATCATTGTGGTGATCTGTAGTTAAGACTGAGTCGAGAGGTTGTGAGCCTCTTCTCCCTTGGGGTACAGGATACTAGGCTGGTAGCACTATGATCTCGAGCGAGGGATGTGGCGGTAGTGACGGAGGGAAAAGAAAGTGGAAGCACAAGGCTGTGAGGTTATGATGGTGGTGGGTGATGGGCGGCGTGACGATGTTTAAAAGAGACAGAGGGTCCACAGGTGGAAAAACAGGACCCCTGAAGGGACTCTTGTTCCATGCACGATTTTGACTCCGTCCCTAGGTCCCAGTCCAGGTCCCTGTCCGAGATGAACGCTGGGGGTGGGCAGATGTGGTGGCCGTCTGATGATCAGGGGTCGCCAACGTGGTGGGTGGATGGGGGGTGATGGGGCAGCACAACAAAAGCCGTTGGTGGTGGTGGAAATCGCGAGAGATGGCTGGGTCAGGGTGGAAAGGGAAGGTAGAGGGTGACGCTCTCTCCAGTTTGGGTATGCAGGCCAAGCAAGGCTCGACTGCCAAATATAGCAGAGCGAGAGAGGCGGTCACAGGAAGCAAGCAGAAAGGGACAGGAAGGAGCAAGGGGCCGAGGTCCGGCCTCGTTTTCCTTGCTGTTCGTGCATTTGCGAGGGAGTCGCAGCAAGGCAAGAGCCACGGCATGACGTCACTCGGGCGGGCTTGCTGTCATCAAATGGCCTGGGCCCGACCGCCACAACGGCTTAGTGCTAAGGGGACCCACACTAGCTGCCCTGTGGAGTGCGGGAGTGCGGGAGTGAAAGGTTCTCTCCATCGCATGGTGCTGCTGATCCGGCACAAAGTCGATGCCCAATTGATGAGAGGTCCTTTGGCTGCTGGTTGGTTACTGGCTGCTGGCGTGATTGCTTCCTGTTTTGGGCGTGGCGCAGACTTTGGGCGATGCAGTGAATACGGGCAACATGCACATCCTGTTTGGGGGTCGTTGTCGTCAACGCTTCACGTGCACACTTTCAATTGAACTGCGGCCTGTATCCATTTCCTTGGGCGGCCTGTCTTTTTGGGCCCCGACGGAGGAAGACGCAAGGCTGCAGGGGCTGAACACCCGCGATTCCCAGCCAATGGTCGAGCTCGATCTGATGGAAAATCGATCCCCGCCACCTCCACAGCTCCGCCAAGCAAAACCCGCCAGCGACCCGCACGGCTGGGAACCCTGGAGCGTTGGAGCGTCGCTCTCCCGTAAACAAGGCCGCAGATTCCATCCACCACTAGAATGGGCACCGCCGAAACAAGCCACACATCGCTATGGCAGTGTCGCCGTTGATACCTCCTCCCCTTGACCCTGCCGTGGCCGCCGCCGCCCAACAGCGGTCGACGTCGTCGCCTCTAAAGCGCCAGCTGTCAGCCGTCTCGTCCGCCAATGGCACCCCGAACTCCATCCCGAAGCAGCAGCAGCAGCTCAAGCCTAGGCAGCCAGCTGCTGCTGCCGCCGCCGCCGCCGCCCTGCCCGCCACAGACCTGATCGAGCAGTTAAACCGGGCCGAGGCGGAGAAATACGTGACTAGTGAGACCCCGAAATCCCCCAACAAAGGAAAGGGAAGGAGTGGGCTGGCTGACATGTGCCACCACGACGACGACGACGGCAACGCGGTCTAGCCGGATTCCTCGGAGAGGGAACATACGCCACCGTTCACAAGGGCTACGAGCGCGCCAACCCCTCCAACGTGGTGGCCATCAAAATGATAAAGGTGCAAAAGGAGTACACAGACGGCATGCCGCCCGACGCGGTGCGCGAGCTTAAGCACCTGCAGGAGCTGTCGCACCCAAACATCATCACGCTGCACGCCGTCTACTCGTCCAACAGCCAGAACGTGTGCCTGGTGCTCGAGTACATACCGCTCGGCGACCTCGAGACGCTGATCCGCGACACCGAGGGCGTCATCTACGGCGGCGCCGACATCAAGGCCTGGATGGGCATGCTGACGCGCGCCATCTGGTTCTGCCACGAGAACTTTGTGCTGCACCGCGACATCAAGCCCAACAACCTGCTCATCGCGGCCGACGGCGAGGTCAAGCTCGCCGACTTTGGCCTCGCCCGCTCCTTCGCCGACCCGCACCGCGACATGACGGCAAACGTCATCACGCGCTGGTACCGCCCGCCCGAGCTACTATACGGCGCCCGTAACTACTCGGGCGCCGTCGACGTCTGGTCTGTCGGCTGCGTCTTCGCCGAGCTGGTGCTGCGCAAGCCCTACCTGCCGGGCAACTCGGAGCTCGAGCAGCTGGCCATGGTCTGCTCCGAGCTCGGCAGCCCGACCGAGGACAACTGGCCGGGCGTCTCCAAGCTGCCCATGTACACCCCGCCCGCAGACCCGCCCCACCCCGTGCCCGACAGGGGTCGCATGATGGCCGCCTTCGGCACCGCCGGCGCCGACGGTGTCGACCTGCTCATGCGCACCCTCACCCTCGACCCCCGCAGGCGCATCACCGCCCGCGACATGCTGCGACACCCCTGGTGGCGCTCCCAGCCAAAGCCCACCCCCAAGGAGGACCTGCCCCGGAAGAAGGACAAGGCCGCGGAGAAGAAGGCGGCCGCCGACATGTCGCGCAAACCGGGCCAGCTCGACGACGCAAGGGCCGCCAAGGTCGCTAGGAAGCTGGACTTTGGGGCAAAGTGATCTTTATGTTTCGGTTGGACTGGGAGAGGGGAGGGGGGGGGGGATATTTGTCACGTTCTTCTTGAGTGCGGTGAAGCGTGGATATCTGCTCTCTGCCAGGCGGGAGATAAAATAGGGCTAGTAGGCACTAAAGGTGGTTTCCGATTGAGAACCAAAGACACGAACACGGAGTTTTGGGCGCAACAACGGCACAGCGCGGGGATACTATAGATTATAGATACCTTATGGCACGGGTTACTCATGATTGCATGTGCTTGGCCCGGTCCTATTCTTATCTCTCGTCGTTATCGTCTTACGGTTGAATACCTCCCTGCCTGCATCCCGGCGTCGTGCCGGGTCGCCCTTTCGGCCGATATCAGTTGCGGCCCCGACTTGTTCGCGCCGAGGAAATCACCACCCTAGGCAGCCTTGGCAACGAGCTGCTGGCCGAGTACTGCGACCCGACCTGCACCTCCTCTCTGGCTGTAAGTCGATGGCGTGCTGTCTTTATACGAAAATACAATGAGCGCTGTCAGGCTAACCGAAGCTGCCGTCACAATAAGATATGGGCGGCTGTAAGCTCCCGCTCCTCTCCCTTGCTCAAACATGAGCTGTCTCTTCGGCTTCTCAATATATACGGGAAGACCTCGCGCTGACCGACCTGCTCTAGGCTGACAGACGTTGAATCTAGGCTCTGCATGGGCACCAACTACACCGTGGCCAGCGGCGACACATGCGAGTCAATTACGGCCGATCACGGCCTTGCAATCGACCGCTTCCTTGAGGACAACAGCATCGACTTCCACTGCCAGTCGCTCGAGGTAGGATCTACCGTCTGCGCCGACCAGAAGTGCCGACTGGGGACGGTCCCGGAAAATGCCACATGCGCCGACCTTTTGCGCACCAACGACTTTACCCTAACCGGGCTGCTATCTTGGAACCCCATTATCCACTCCACCCGCAACAACCACCCGACCCTCGCCGGCAGGACCATATTCTTGTCGTAAGTTCATTACAGATCCTCGCTTTGATAGGGCCAGGTTTGCATGCGGAGAAGAGCGGGCAGGCGATGGACACATGGTTTTTGTCTTTACATGTAGTCCAAGTGGGATCCTAATGCCAGCCACTCACCGATGGCTCCCCCGCGCCGTCGTTAGCTCCTACCGGTGTCTTTGCTCCGAACCCTCGTTGTCGAAGAGCTCCCCGTTATCAACCGCCTCATCGAGAGAGTAGCCCCCCAGAAATGCTCCCACGAAGTGTGGAAACCTCGTTACCTTGATTTTGTTGCTCCAGAGACATTTGCCGTAGGTATCGAGCCAGAGGAGCTTGACGTGCTTGCCCCTGATGGCAGCCTCGTCTGCCATAGATGAGCGCAATGGCGCGTTTCGAGGCAAGCCTCAAGGGCGATAGTGAATCTTCGTACTCCTTCCACTCTTCTCCCTCCATAAGAAAGGAGTCGTAGTCATCCATAGTTCCGTGAAATCCGTCGCAGAGCGAGGGGACACGCGCAACGATCGCCCGTGCAAGATCCGCCACGTTTTGCGCCAGCCAGGTGGCCGTAAAGCAGAGGGTTATTCAGCCCCACGTTTCCGCTGTCGAGCATACCGCCGATGTCCTCGAGCTCCGTTTGCTCGACCAGTTGATTGTAGGCGTCTTCAAGTTCGGGGTCGTAGCAGACGCGTACCCAGGCGGCCAGGTCGCACCACCCGAAAGCCGTTGTCGCGCGTACGCCCAAGTCGCGCTCGTCAGCCGTCTGCCGGCCCTCCAGCACCCGGCGCGTCTTCTCCGGCGTGAGCAGTGCGAGTATAGACCTAATGGTGGGGTCATCTATAAGTTCGGGGTGGGAATGGTAGGCATCGTCCCACCCGCTGGCCGAGTGATACGCCTGGTATCGCCAAATTGGAATGTGTTAGCTAACCGTTCAAAAATGGGGCATCAAGGCGTGTGTGTTAGCTTTTTTTTTAAAGCTTGATTCCTGTATTAAGAGACGCACAAAACGTTCCTTCGGATGAAGAGCCGGGTATTCTTGGACAACCCTTTCCCACTGGGCCTGGTCATTCTCCAACGGGGCGGAGTATTCCCAACGCTCCTGCATGGTCTTTGTGAGCATCAAATATGCCAAAAATGCTGCCGGCGCCCATCGTCGGCGTGAGAGATTAACGTACCAGGGCAAAGAAATCAAAGGCGAGCTCGTTCCCGCTGCACACCAGAATCGACGCTGTCGCCGCATCTTTCACCTGCTGACATGCGAGGCCCTCCTAGATTCCGCAGCAAAGGATGATCTGCTCTCAATTCAAACTTTGTTTGCGAGCGACAGGTTCTCGGTCGCCAGAAGCCCTAGGTATCTCAATCCTGACGCGGATGCGTTTCGTGCAGCAACAGCGCCGTTTTCGCAGCAGCATGTGTGCGAGAAGCGACCCTCGGACCACATTTGACCTCGTGGAAGGCGTCGAATCTCTGTACGGATATCGCCCGGGCGGCTATCATCCAGTAATCATCGGAGACAGCTTTCGCGACGGCCGCTACAACATTGTCCACAAACTCGGCCACGGAACCTATTCGACCGTCTGGCTCGCCAGGGACAATCAAACCCGGACGTATGCTGCTATCAAGATCGGGATCGCTGCTGGCGGCCCCAGCCGCGATATCGGTATCCTAAAGCTGCTCGCCCAGTCAGACGGCCTATTACCGCCGCACCCGGGGCGCAATGCGATCCCGCCGTTGCTCGACAGCTTCGTCGTGAGCGGCCCCAACGGGAATCACGATTGCATCGTCACTTCGCCGGCCCGCATGCCCATTTCCGGGGCCAAAGAGGCATACAAAAGCCTGAGGCTGTTCCAGCTCCCTGTGGCCCGGGCTATTGCCGCACAGCTAGCCCAGGGCGTTGCCTTCATGCACAGCCGTGGAATTGTCCATGCCGGTGAGCCATGCTTTTACAGATATAAGCTTGATCCACTATGGTGCTAATTAACAAGTACGCGAAAGCAAAAAAGACCTGCACCAGGGCAACATCCTTCTTGGGCCGTTCCCAGCCCTCGACCCGTCGGACACGGATCAGCTATATAGCGTGTGCAGCGCCCCATACGAACAGCAGGTCAGGATGCTCGATCGCTGTACCGAGCTGGCGGCAGGCGTCCCTGATCGCGTATACGCGGGTGCTTTCTTGTCGCAGCCGAGCCACTGTGTGACCATAGAGGGCGCCAGGGTTTTGCTGACGGATTTCGGAGAAGCCTTTGATCCGATCAACCCGGGCTCCAGAGAGCCGGGCTCGCGCACGCCCAATTTCCTAGCCCCTCCCGAAGCCCGCTTTGTCCCGGGGGCCCCGATCTCCTTTCCTGCCGACATCTGGGGACTGGCGTCCGCCATCTGGGGGTGCTTGGCAAACCATGAATTATTCGAGGGCATCACATGGACCGACATCACCGAGGATCAGATATTGGTGGCGGGGGATCTGCCTGCAGAGTGGGCTGGTGCCTGGGACGAAATGCGGCGCAAGGATTCGATGAAGGGTTCGATGCCAGCTGACTGGGTGGACGACCCAGAAGAGCCTCCAAGAACCCTCGAATTCCGCTGGGACGAGTGGGTGCAGGAGCCGAGGAGGGAGGCCGGGATGCAGCTGGTGGAACCGGAAGAAAAGAAGGCGTTTTTCCGCCTGATCCGGTCCATGGCCGTCTTCAGGCCGGAAGACAGGATAAATGCCCAGCAGGTTCTCGAGTCGGATTGGATGCGCGACTGGGCTCTTCCAGAGCTGGCGGCCATGGGCTCCAATTACTGATTTAACCAGCCAGCGGGGCGATTCGGGGAAGAACAAGACGATCGAGAATAGAACGAGCAGCGGGATGATTTAAAACGCGACGGGGAACCGCCAGCGGAAGGCAGATTCGCCGTTGCCGATGATGGAGAGACCAAATTCGAGCCCGTAGGCGACAACGAGTCTAGGAGTGCAGGCAGGGGGGTACCAAAGAAAAAGAGGCATGGTCTAGCAGTCCAACTGCTTCAGTGAGCGCGTCTTCAGACGGACCTTGAGCATCCTCGGGAAATTTTATTAGTTGCCTCAACGGTTCACTTGGTAGGCGAACCACACATAGGAATATAACCATTGCCTGTTCCTTTCTGGACAAGGAATCCTCAAGCGCGGCTCCAGCGCGCTGCGGAAACAAAAACAAATAGTTAAAGTATTAGAAGGAATTGCGGCAAACTCGGGAAACAACATAGTAGAAAACACCGCCACACAGCCAGATAATGTGTCCCTAACACCTGGGCAACATAGGGGCCTATTCGCTTCGCGGGGGCACGAACGGCAACCAGTCCCTCAGGTATCGAGTAGTATCATTGTACGGCTCTCGGGGCCGTTTTCTAGTCATCGGACCCCTCTGTGACGACCATAGACGAGGACCTACCAGGGACCATGATCAAGGCGCACGCGCGCCGAACACCGGAATCCCTCTTTCATTCCTTTTCCCGCAAGATTAGAATCTTCGTTTGTAGCGCCAATTGACGGTGTTCTCTTCTTTGACCATGGCCGTGACATCCTCCACCCAAGCTTTCCTATTTCGCGGCGTCGTCTAGAGGGAAGTTCTCGGGCGTTCTCGATCGAATGTACTTTGGCCAAAGCCACCGCATCAACGGCGGGATTATTGGACTGAAACCTGAAGTCGGCCTTGGTGACGTCAAAGCCGGAGCCACGCTGGTCTTCCTGCCCATGCTCGACCGGGTATAAGTCCAAATTCTCATCGATGCTGAATTTCTTTGCAGATGCTACTTAACCCGTCAAACGAGTCCTTGACAAACAAGATGATCTGATACCCAGCGCTGACCAGTTCCCGCCCTTGAAAGTTAACTACCTAGGTAAGCAGCACATATGTATCTAATGAAAACATGTTGCGGCATTGATGCTGATCGCTCGCCCATCAAGGTACAATTATACCAAGAACGAGGAGTAAATAACAGAAAGAAAAAAAACGACAGGCTATATGATATCCAACCCCATGTCACATCAGGCTGCAGTCGAGCCCGTACATGGCTTTCTCGACGTGCCTCTTGACCTGGTACCAGTCTGCGCGGCGCTCGGCGTACTGGTAGACCTCCTCGGCGCGGAAGACGCCGCCGAAACGGTCGCTGTCGGCGATGATGGTGGCCATCTCCTTTGAGTGGCGCGGGTCGATCAGGTACAGCTGCGACAGCTCGCGCAGGGCCCTGAAGTAGGGGAGCAGGTCCGGGTTGCGCAGCTCGCGGCGGACGTAGTCGAAGTAGAGGTTCATGTCGGATATCACCTTGATGGCGCCGTCGGTCGACACGCGCTGGCGCTTGAGGTGCTTGCACACGGCCGCGAACAGGCGCAGGCCCACCTCGCCGTTGAAAACGTCCAGCATCGACTTCTCCGTCGTGCCCACCAGCATGCGCGTGTGGCTCGACACGAGGTCCACCACCCGCACCGCCGTCTGCGTCGGCCCCATGTCCGTGTCTGCCGCGCCGCCGCCGCCGCCGCCGCCAGTAGATACCGCCGCCGTCGCCGCCGCCACGTCCTTCTCGGACCCGGGCGCCCCCGCGGCGAGCGGGTTGTAGTCTGTGGGCAGCTGCGTCGTAGCGCAGATGTACTCGACCTCGTCCATGAGCACGTCGATGCCCTTGTTAAGACCAGCGGCGACGCTCTCGTCCAGCATCTGCTCAAACTTCTTCTTGGCCAGTCCCGACGCGTCCAAAAAGTCGTTGCGGTCCGCGATCTTGGGCCCCGCTAGCTGCTGCTCGTAAAAGACGTCGATCATCTGCGATATGAGGTCGCCCAGGTTCACCAGCTCGATGAACATGACCAGAGGAGCCACGCCGCTCTTGGAGTGATCCGTCACGTCGCGTGGGTTGTAGTGCGACAGATGCTGGACGGCGCGGTCGAAGCCGGGCTTGATGTGACGCCCGCCCAGAATACGCAACAGCGCCACGAAAATGGCCTCGCACTGCTCGCGCGCCTCGCCGCCGGCCTGCCCACCCAGCGGTATGAATACTGCTGCGCGTCCTAGGCTTGTCTTGGCCGCGTGCACAAGATTCAGCGCCACCTCGATGCTGAAGAGGGATTTGATGCCCTCGAGCCGCGATGCCACCAGAGCCGCCTTTGCCGCAAGCTCGTCTGTCGGTGCCTTTTCAGGCAGTGGGCTTGCAGTGCGCTCAAACGCCGCCCCGAGACCAGGGCTTTGAGGCTGTGAAGGATGGGGCGACGACGGAGGCTGGAGGGCGTTGCCGTTGGCCGCGCCAGTGACCCCTGGTGTATTCGCGCTCGACTTGCTACTGCTCCCAAATGGGCCTGTGAGCAGCTGGCCGGGGAGACTGGGCAAGACTGTGACGGGCATCATGACAACCTTCTTGAAGGAACTCAAAAAGTCCTTCTTGTCGGCCTGCCGGTTGAAATTTCCCATGTAAAACGACTCGGCAGTCGCATCCCGCTCTGACAGTCTCGTCTCCCAGATTCCCACTTCGTTGTCTGCGTGTTTTATAAAGAAGTCGAGTTCCTCCTGGAGGTATAAATCTAGATGGGGCTCGAACGTCCTAAGGGCAATCTCTTTGGCTTTTTCTTCCGTCTCCTCGGGCGTGCCGTTTGGTACCTGGAGGGTCCTGAGAAACAGGTAAGCCTGTTCAAAGACGCCAGAGACTGCCTGGAGATATGCCGACAGGTTGCGTTCGTGTGCCTCGTCAAATAGTGGCGTGCAATATTCGGTAATAATGTCTTCCTTGATCTTGTCCACGAAGGTCCAGAAGACCTGGTTCGGCCGTGGAAAGATCTTGCCGATAACAACCCCTTGTTCGTTGATCTTGGCGGCTAGGTTACCAAAGAACAGCCTCGACGGCTCTAAGGTGATGTCCTCGGATGCCCCGCCCGCCTGGTCCAGACACGCCATCGGGTCAGCCATGAACGTGTGCCCGGATTCAGAAAATACGGGGTGCTTGGCAATGAAGAGTTCGACAGCGGCGGTGGCACCGTTAAGGTCATCGAGCACGTGGGCGTAGCGGTGCATGCGGCCCTCGACATCCCAAAACTCGTACCCCTGCTCGAACTCGCGCAGCACCGCCGTCTCGAAGATGCCGACCATGGTCAGCAGGCGCTCGCCGCGCTGTCGACAGCCCTCGGCCCAGTCGCAGCGCGCAAAAACCACCAAGTTGGCAAGCATGCGAGCCTGCCGCTCCGGATCGCGGAAGACCTGGAACAGCACGGGGTCCGTGTGGCTCCGCGCCCGCACCAGGTCGTAGTAGAAGGGACCCAAGGCGCCGTAGATCTTGCCAAATTCCTGTCGTGCCCGGCCGCGGGTACTAACCACGTTCTTGAGCACATCCAGTAGGGCGTTGGGGTCCTGCATCGGATCACCACCTCCACCCTGCGGCTGCTGCTGGGGCTGCTGGGCCTGTCCCGACTGCTGGGGGACAAGGGCCTGCATGCCGCCCAGGGACATGGTCTGGAAGCCCTGGCTCAGGTCAGCGACCTGCCTGTTGCTCTGCCGCTGTTCTTCGACCGAGGCGTCGAATATGGTGAAGCTCGTCGGCGCTCCTCTCTGCCCGGGCGCCCCACCCACGGCCGACCCGCGCTGCCCGCCTGCATTGTTGGCCCGCTCGGCGGCCTCGCGCCTCCTCTTGACGGCCTCGTCGAACCTGCGGCGCGCCTCGGCCTCGTCCCAGACGCCCAAGCTCTTGAGCCGTGCCACCCATCTCGTGTCGTCATAGACCATCTCATGCATGCGGCGGGAGACACGTGCGAAGCGCATCAGGTCGGGGACGGGCAGGTAGTCGAGGACCGAAACGAGGATCTCTACAACGGTCGGGAACGGTTAGATCAGCAGTCTTCCCGCAAAATGTCTGCTCCCGGCCAGAGAACCGTACCTGCTGGAAGGGTGGTCTTGGTATCCCACATGTCCGTTGCCTGCAGGGTCCCCAGGATGCTGTTGCCCTGAGGGGCCCGCCTGAACTGCGACATGTTGGCGGCTGGTTTTTGCGATTGCCGAGATGGAGATACACCAGTCGATACCCCACGAAAGCCAAGTTCGGGCTCGGACAGGTACCGGAGTCGGGCGCGAGGGTGTCGTCGATCCGACCGCTTGTATGTCCAAACAACCCCGGTCGTGGCCACTCGCAAATCACTCTGAAAAGCGGCTTGCTGCGGCCAGCTCCCCCATGACGTAGAGGTCTAGGCGGGGCTGGTCTCTCGGTGCCGATATGTGTCGTAAAACTCGGGTTCCCTTCGCTTGGGTTCGTCGTCGAATGGCCCTCGCGGGGAAAGCATTGTTGGGCTGGACGCACGCTGCGGCAGACGTCGTTCCTCGACCATGCCCGCTGGCAGTTGATGGATGCTCCCATGGCGAATCAAACCAGAGGTGGGGCAATCCCCTTGCCCCAGGCCCCGCGGTTGCGGGTACGAGCACAGTACAAATACCAACACCAGCCCAGAAACGGTGATGGTTCAATTGGACCATTCCCCAGTGTTGAGTCGCCCAGGGCTCATGGCATCACGGTGTGAAGACTACGGCATATCAGGTAAGCTCTGGCGCTGCAAAAGCAGTAGAACAAGCGTATTAGAACAACTCTAGGCTCATATTCGTGTTCTAGCCTCGTTCTAAGGCCGAAAAGCCATACTCGTGCGGGCTAAAAGCGCCTGCAATTTAACGGTCCTCCGGAGTAAAGTGCGGCGGGGCAATTCGACGTTTTCGGGGCAATTCGACGTTTTTCTGTAACATTTTTCCCCAGCCAAATTAGCTAAAAACCAATGTATTGCCGAAAAAGGTAATAGTTAGCCGAACTTTTATAAGCACGGTGCATAGCCAAAAAACCATCGTAATTTTAACCCCGCCAATTTAGGCCTTGCGCTTTTGGGTTTTCCAGCCAAATTTTACCGAAATGCCTAGGATCCGGTGCGAAAAAAAGCGCGAAAAGGCCCGGGCTAATAAAGCCCGGGTTTTAATAGCCCTAAAAGCTTTCGATTAAAACGGTTTTAAAACCTTTGCCGCTTGCGCGCGGCAGTACGGGATAAACTTTCGCTTACTGCAAAAGCGCCGGCAAGGAAGCGCCGGTAAAATAGGGAACGGCGGGTACAATAAAAAGCTAACAAAAACCGAAAATTTTGCGTTGCTTGCGTAGGCTAATTGGAAGCAATTAATTGGTAAGTTTAATCCAAGCGGTTTTGGGTGCGGTTTGTTAGCAAAT